TTTGATCATTATATAATGACCTGCTTTGTTTCTTCTTACAGTTTTTGTCTTAGTTTATTTTGTCATGTGTGTGTGTGTGTGTGTGTGTGTGTGTACTTCTGCTCTCTTTATATTTTCTCTTGCTTGGACTATCATTTTCTTTCACTTTCAGTCTGTGTGTCTTCACTGTTGAGATGAGTTTCTTGTAGACAGCATATTTTTAAAGAATCCATTTAGCCAGTCTGTATCTTTTAATTGGAAAATTTAGTCCATTTACATTCAGAGTTATTAATAGGTAAGTACTTTCTCCTGTCATTTTGTGACTTTCTCTAGTTTTGAATATTCATCTCATTTACTTTTATGGTTTGATGATTTACTGAATTGATAGTGCATGATTTTTTTTTTTTGTACATATACTCTTCTGGTGGGATTTATACTTTCATGTGCTTTCATGCTGGCAATCTTTCACTTATGGAAGTAGGACTCCCTTAAGCATCTTTTGTAATGCTGGTCTGTTAGTCACGAAGTCCCTTAGTTTTTGCTTTTCTTGGAAGGTCCTTATTTCTCCTCCTTTTCTGAGGGATAGTCTTCCTGGGTCATATTCTTGGTTGGCAGTTATTTTGCTTCAGGACTTGGAATATGCCATTCCATTCCCTCTTGGCCTATAGTGTTTCTATTAAGCAATCTGCTGTTAGTGTAATGAGGATACACTTTAATGTATTCTCGGACATTTTTCTTTTGTAGATTTTAGAATTTTTTATTTTGCATTTGACAGTTTGACTGTATGATGCCACAGTCAATGTCTATTTGGGGTTCTGTAAGACTTTTATATATGGAGATCCACAGATTAGGGAAGTTTTCTGGTATTATTTCAATTATTTCATTGAATAGGTTTCCTATGCCATTAACTTTTTTCTCCTTGTGTTTGGGTATTCCTAAAGTGAAGATATTTCTTTATTTGGTGGATCATATATCTCTACCACTTTTATGGGGATGGCCTCTTTAGTAAGCAAATTTCTCCTGAAGACATGTCTTGGGGGAATGATGTGTTACACAATGTCATATTTGTTTCCAGCTGGGCACCACAGTGTAGTTTCCACATAGCTTCTTTGGCTGTGATTAATGACTTTGGGCAATGTATACCATGGTAAAGTCAGAGACCCACAGTCTCTATGGCCATGAAATATTGGGGACACTCTAGCAGTTCAGGCACTTGTGATACAAACAGCAGTGGGTGTGGTGGCCTTTACTGGGTAATAGATGTTTCTTCAGGGACTACTGATGCCAGCTGTGCAACTAGCAAGGTCTTCTGTCCTGAAAGTTGTGAGGGACCTCAAGCACTTGTCCTCTGACCCTTGTCCTGTGGGCCCCGACACTGCATGGGACAGGTGGTGGCAGGAGCTGTAGCAGCCCCTCTGTGGTGCTCACATCCAGTCCTGATAGCAGTGCGTGGTCAGACAAGGTACAGTGGTGGGAGGAACTACAAAGGTCAATGTCTCTGCTGGTGGCCATGCATGCCAAGAAGTAGGACTGAAGCTAACAATGGGCCTTCTTTGGCCATATGCACACAGAGATGGGGTGATGGCTGGAGCTGAGGCTCTCCCCAACCCACTCCTTCAGCTATAGTGCATACTGGGCTGGTAGACAGCCATAGTCTCAGTTGGTCAAGGTCTCCCTCAGCATACCTCTGTAGGCAGTGTAGCAGCAAGACTCTTCCCTGCTCTGCAAGGAGCAGAGCACATGAGTGATAGAGGGGATAGATAGCAGGGATTACGTGGGAGCCTGCCTTCAGTCCTGGCATACCCGTGAGATGGAACATAGATAGCCATTCCCTGATCTTAGAGGGCAAGTAAACTGACCTCCTGGTTCTCAAGGGCAGTGCCCTCTCTTCCACTACAGTACAGGGCACCCACTGGGCTTAGGTCACAGTCACTCTGCTCTACCAAGTTAGGTCCTCAAGGTAGCTGCCCCTAAGCCAGTGCAGTGGAGTGTCTGTGGAGCTGCAGAGATGGAAACATGTGAGGGTTTCTGGCCCCTAGAACTGTCCACGCTCAGTTCTCAAGCTGGTTCCTGGCTCCAGCACCCTGGGGTTCACTAGGAGATGTGAGATCCTTTTTCTAAAGCTGGGGTATGTGTAGATTTCAGGTTACTTGTCCATGTGTGCTGTGAGCCTGTGAGGACTGTAATGCTCTCTGGTAGATTGCCAGCATCTCTTTGGGAGTTTGCTGGGATGCTCTCTTGTACTGTTACCCCACCAGAAAGGGACTCCTCCCCAGGGTCTGGAGCCAGGGTGGCAGATGCTGGGCTATTTTGTTTCGTACTGTGCTCTTGTCCCAGGTCTCTGGATCTTACATTTTTCTCTCTTTTTCTTTCTTCTTTCACAGTACTAAAGTTTGAACTCAAAGCCTCATACTTTCTAGGCAGGTACTCTACTACTTGAGCCATGCCACTAGCCCCCTTTTGTCTTATGTTTTTTGTTTAGGCTGGCCTTGGACTTTGATCCTCCTAATCTGTCTCCTGAGTGGCTGGGATTACAGGCGTGAGCCTTCACAACTGGCCTGCATTCTCTTTGTTGATGATTTCCACTGTTTTCCCATGGTCACTCATTTCAAAATGCAGCTATGAGGTTGTTGCTTTGGTTCTTCATTGTGGAGGAGGGAATGTTAGGTACCTCTATTCTGTATCTTGTATTCTCTTCTCCCAGAAATGTTTCATATTTTCCTTAAAAGTACAGCTACATGGTAGCTATTGAATCAACAATGATTAAATGTTGTTATTCCAGAAGTATGAACTGATACAAGTATTGCAGCATATTTACACAGACAGAACTAGACCAGGAGTCCTGAGTCCCCTATTTAGATAGCAGTGTAGCCTTTAAGTAAGTCATAACTTTGCTAAGCCCCATTTTTCTGTCTGTAAAATGGAGAAATAGTTCCTGCTTCATAAAGGCAGTGTGAGGTTGAAAATAAATAAAACAGAGCCCCTGAAATGGGTGCAGTTTACCCAAAATTTCCTTTCTATATTTTCATGTTCACATATTATATTAACAATGTTCTTTCAGGTTCACATTTTGTATCTCTAATTACACCTATGTCATCACTCATGAGTGGCTCAGTGAAGAAAATCTTAACTATCAACCTAAGAGAGGACAAGGGGAAAAAGAAAAACAAAAACCAAAAAGCAACTTCCGAGGCATCCATAATCCCAAGCAGGGCATGGTCTGAGGTTGGCTGCAGGTGAGTCATGCACAGCCAGTGTACAGGGATCCCCAAGCTGTCACCACTTATGGAATGGAGTCTTGATGCTCTAACTCACAACAAACCAATTGGGGACCTTCTTAAGATGAAGATTAAGGCTTGGTTCATCTGGAGTGGGGTCTAAGATGCTGCATTTGTAGAATATGTTTAGTACAGTATTTTGATGCTTTCACTCTAAAGACCAGTGGCAAACAAACTGACACTTCATAAAAATTCAGGGCACATAGAAAGCAAGAGGCATATTTGCAAAGTGATTTATTTACATTTTAAGCTTATATTAAAATCTTTCGAGGACAGAGTGGCCAATGAAATATAAAAAGCTAAAATAAACACATACACATGAATATTTATCTGAACAGAATTCTAGGGATGGCTTTAGATTAACTCAAGTTTTCCTTCACAAAACTACAGAGCCCTTAAATCTTGCTATGGTAATGTCTCCCTAGTAAGAATAAATTTAACTTTTATCATTCAAAAAAGCAGAGAGGCAAAAAGCCAACTTTGTTATTAAGCAGCTATTCATACGCCATAAACCAAAATTATTTTACAGTGCAGAAATGTTCAAATAGGTCCAAATATGATATAATGAATATTTTAAATAAGTGCTTTGGTTATTAGGCTTTGACTTGGTTTTTGGCATTACTTGTATAATTATCCATCCCAATGAGTCATCCATTACAGGTAATCCATTCAAAACATGACTTGCTTTAACACTATAGTGTTGCAAAACACTTAGATGTTCCTTGACTGGAAATAGTTTTAAAAGATGCTGACACAACAACACATTTCTCTTTTTCTTCACTCGGCAAAATAAAATCACAAACTCATTTTCCACATGTTAAAAAACCAAACTCTGCCATATAAGCCTAATTCATTTTAATTAATTAATTAATTTATGGGACTGGGGTTTGAACTCAGGGCTTCATACTTGCAAAGAAGATGCTCTACCACTTGAACCATACCTCTAAGTCCCTTGTTTCTTAAAAATAAAAAAATTTCCTCAAAATAATACCTGCCCTGGATATTGGTTTATTAGGCCCTATGAAATCTCCCCCTATACCTTAAGCCTAGCATTTCATGATCTTCTTATATATAATATGCTGATGGTTAAATATATCCAGTGCATTGAAGTTTCTGGGAAGGATTCACATTTAAAACAAATTTTAAGGTCTAGATATAGTAAGTGTTAGAAAAATAAAACAAAATACTGACGTTGTTTCTATCCTTCCCCTCCTACTTCTCTTCCTTCACAAATTTGAGCTTGAGAGTAAGGCTTTTAAAAAGTAGAAGAAAGCAAAATAGGACAACAGAGCTCTTCCTCCCCATGATGCCCTTTCCCTAGTGCAATGTCACATTCCAAAGGCAAACTCCATTCCTTTCCTTGAAATCAAGATCTGGACTTGTATGATTATTTGAAATAACTGTTCTTAGGTAAAAATAAAGTTTAAAGAACGTTTTTAATAAAAAGGCAGCCAAGTGCCTATAAAATATATAATTTGTGATTTTTGAAGAGTGCCATTTAAAAAGTCTGAAAGCAAAATCTAAACATAATTTTATATTTAATCTCTCTAAAAGGTCTTTTAAAAGCTTTAATCTATATTTTATAAATAGTTAAACTCCCATTCTAAACCGTTTTTCAAAAACAAACTGTTGCACAAATGTATAAATTTAATGTATGAATATGATACTTCTTTTATTTATTTATTTTTTCCAATTTCATTAAGTGGGATAAAGCAAGAAATCAAATACCCACGTGTTGGCTAAATTTTCATTTGAATAGCATTTTGATTTTGGATAAAAAGGTTTAAATTTAGTCTAAAACTTCCTCCCAAAAGTTGTATTTACATTCACTGTACATAAGTTTATATACACATAAATACAAATTTATAGAAAAAATTAATGTACACTTTTCTTATTAAAAAAAACAAAAACCACAACAAATGCAGTCACATGCTAAGCCAGCTGTTTGAGAAACAGGCTCAGTGCTGGGTTCCAGTGACTAAGCCTTGAGTCACTGGAAACACGTGTACATAAGCACTCCATGAAGGCATAGTCTATTTTTCACCTCAGCCTAGTTCTAGCCACAGTTTAAGGTAAAAAAATTTTTATTTTTTTAAAAAAGTTTTCTGTTAAAGCTAGTGCCATACAAATAGTTGAGTTTGTACTAGAGATGAAAGTAGGTCAGCAGATGCCAAATATTTTGAAGCATAATTACTTATAGGGAAAGATTAATTTTTTTCCAGGGAGAAATCAGGACTTTCTGATAAGAGCTGTCCACTTCACCTTGAACAGACCTGTGAATAGCAGTGCCTGGTCAGGGCTCTTGTCCAGGTGACTCCTGGCTGTCGGGTGAGACTAATCATGGGTGGTTAAGAGGAATTCCAAAGCTCCTTAATGGAAATTACTTTGTTGAGATTGACGACCTCTTAGGCAGTTTGCTTTATCTTGTGTTCCTGGTCAAAAGCAGTTTGATTTTTGTTCTATCTCTTACAAATAGATGAGTCTGGCTTTCCTGGAATACATCACAGTGCAATTTTCTGGTCCAATTACTCTCACACGAGAACAGGTAGATGGCTGTGATGGAGCAGGTAGCATCCAGCCTCTTGTAGGTCTTTCCATCAAGAACAGCGGGAGCAGGCTAGAAGCAGAGATTTTCATTGGAGCTGGTCGGGGAGCAAGGCTGTGTTTACTGAGTCTAAAAGGTTTTCTTTTCTACAAGTTCTGATCTTGAGAATGAATATGAAGTCCTGCTTAACACTCATTTACCTCAGATGGTATGACAATGCTTTCCATGAGAAATTCATTCTTATGATAAGATTTGAAGTATGGGAGAGTGACAAGCATGGAAACTTTACCTATATTAAACAATCAATAAACGCTCTTCTATAAACTAGAAGAGGTTTTTTTTAACTCTAAATAAAATCAAGGCCCTTTTCAGACAATTAACTGCTCTAAAATATAGAAATAAAAATTCTATGGTTGTAAATATATAAGACAAATAAGGTTACATGGTTTCTACATTTCAAATCCTGAGAGGCCCAACAGTAGTTCAGGAAGACAGTTTAAAGAATTGTTCCCTGAGTTCTTGAGGCAACCTCAAAGGTCAGTCCATGAACTGCAAGTCTTGAGATAGGAAACCTCACCTGGTCTGCATCTCTCTTCCAAAGGTGTTTACTCCAAAGCAATTTGTCCAGTGCTTTCGCTATAGTTCAAATGCTTTAAGAATGTGGCTTTATTCAGTTTTTAGAAGATTCCCAAATGAAACTTCTCAGAGGATGAAGAAAAAGATTGTTTAAAGAAAGTAAAGCTTTAACATTTGTTAAGAGTGCATTTGAGTAAATCAGTTCTAAATCTATAATCAAGAGTAGTAATAGGCATCAGAAGGTAGAGTTCTACAGATTTGGGTTTTTCTAACCCCAGTGGTTAATGAACTGAGCCTTCTTATTATACAGAATGACAGCCTACCAATCAATTCAAAGAACCAAAACTATTACAAGAAGAACAACTCTTCAGTATTTAAATGTTACACCCACATTTGGTTTAAAAATAAAGTTTGTAATAATCTTTCTACTCGGGTCTAGTTAGAAAAATGAGCTATGGTGGTGACTCCAGTTCTGTTGCTGGGAGATTTAAGTTAGGCTTAATTTTAAGCCATTAAAACTTTTTAAAAAGAGAATTAACAGAACCTATTGAAATGTTCCATCTATTTCAGTAAAGTGCACACATGTAAGTGCATCCTTTGGTGTGGCTATGACCTCAAAGGAGGTGCAGAAGTCAATGGTGCTGGTGTCAGATTCCTGACTATAGTACTGAGGCTGGCGATTTTCTCTTCTAGGAGGTAATTTTTCTTCTCTGCTGTTTTCTGTCTCTGTTCAGTCATTTCCAGAGCTTTCAACAACTGGGCATTTTCAACATACAAATCCTTCACCACTGCATCTGCTTTAGTATTCTTGCAGAGCTAGAAAAAGAACCAGAAACATCTTGATTGCATATCTGTAAGGTCTGACAGAACAGTTTTGTAAAGGCAAATTATTTCTATCAGTCATATTCTTTCATTTTACAATACATCTCAAACATTGGACTTGCCATCAGGGATATGAGTGGAGCAAACCCACTTTTTTCAAACTCTTTTTTTTTCCTATATGCTTTTGAAGTTACTAATAAAAAGAACAGATTGCTATTTGAGGGTCCAAAATTAATTAAGTGTTAACCCTTTATTTTCTAAAAAATATAAAAATACTTAAAATTTTGTGTATAAGGTGCGAACTGTTAAACTCTGCTCTTAACAGATGCTTAAGTTTTCCATTCATAACTACAACCTACTGATTGTTTCAAAAATTGGCTCATGAATTATGACAAGAAGATGAGATTTTGCCAGTTATTTTCTTCAATTCCCATGAGGCCTTGTCTAAAAGGTATTCTAATTCTTATAGTCAGAATGCAGAGTGTAGGCTGGGGTAGGAAACTTACTAGCAGACTTGTATACTTTTTTATTGCTCCTGTTAGTATCTTTAATCTTCTTTTCCACATTACACCATTACCTCCTCACTCTACGCTCAACTTTTTTTTTTTATTCATATGTGCATACAAAGCTTGGTTCATTTCTCCCCCCTGCCCCCACCCCCTCCCTTACCACCCACTCCGCCCCCTCCCTCTCCCCCCCCAATACCCAGCAGAAACTATTTGCCCTTATTTCTAATTTTGTTGTAGAGAGAGTATAAGCAATAATAGGAAGGAACAAGGGTTTTTGCTGGTTGAGATAAGGATAGCTATACAGGGCACTGACTCACATTGATTTCCTGTGCGTGGGTGTTACCTTCTAGGTTAATTCTTTTGGATCTCACCTTTTCTCTAGTTCCTGGTCCCCTTTTCCTATTGGCCTCGGTTGCTTTTAAGGTATCTGCTTTAGTTTCTCTGCGTTAAGGGCAACAAAGGCTAACTAATTTTTTAGGTGTCTTACCTATCCTCACCCCTCCCTTGTGTGCTCTCACTTTTATCATGTGCTCATAGTCCAATCCCCTTGTTGTGTTTGCCCTTGATCTAATGTCCACATATGAGGGAGAACATACGATTTTTGGTCTTTTGGGCCAGGCTAACCTCACTCAGAATGATGTTCTCCAATTCCATCCATTTACCAGCGAATGATAACATTTCGTTCTTCTTCATGGCTGCATAAAATTCCATTGTGTATAGATACCACATTTTCTTAATCCATTCTTTAAGCTCAACTTTAAGCAGGACATCTTAAAGAATGTAGATTGGAGGGAATAAAGAGCAACTACACAATGGCTAATTAATTTATTGTATTTTTAAGGTCAATGACAATCTGGATGACTGGCAGGTATAACATACTAACATTTCAGAACCTACCCTCTATTGAAATGTTCTAATGCAACTTATCTTTCTTCTCTCCCTCCCATCCTCTCATAAAGAAATACTTTCGTGGTTCTTCATCTCCTACAGAATAAAATGCAAACTCCTTGGCATAGCAAGCAAGACATCCTTCTCCCTGTTCTTCCCTCCCTTTCTCTCTCAGGGCAGTAAGAACTGGCAATGCCCAAGTATGTATAGATACCCACAGTCTGCATGATGTCCTAACTCCATGAAGTTCCTACACCGCAGAAAGCCTGCCCAAATTTTTTCACCTGTTCAAATCTCATTCAACCCTCGAGATGTAGCTTAAGAGGTCTTCAGGAAGCTTTCTTTAAACCTCTGGTGTGGATCAACTGTCTCTTTTCTTGTGTGTCCCTCTACTGAAAATAGGATGGAGTTGACTTTCTTTTATTTTGAACCTACCATCTGGCAAAATGTTTGACACCTTGTAGGTGTGCTAGAGTTTACATTCCATATGGGCAGGGACTTCTTTTTGTTCACTTCTGCATCTCTAGTGCCTAGCACAAGGCCTAGCACATAGTAACTGTGTGGTGAGCAAATGAATACTTGAATGAACAATTGATCACTAACTGGATTTCTCTTTCTCTCTCCTCTGTTTATTAAGGTATATAGAGCAAAGGAAGGCTCCTGGCTACATCTATATTCAGACCCTCCCTTGGGATTATCATTCTTAGATTTTATGTATCTAGAAAACCAGGCTGGGCAGTTTTTACCCACCTCCCTACTACCTGTTTTAGTCTGTTTAACATTTTCCCAGGAGATAGTTCTCCTTGTTTATCTCTTCAGGGGATGCACAACTACTTCTAAATATAGGCCACATCTGCCACAGGCAGGTAGAAAGGATGGGGCTGCTTAATGGAATGGAAATTGGGGTTTGACCCCATTCAATGCCTATCCTTCTGAGTCCTGGTTTTAGTAATAAGGCGCTTTCTGAGGTTGCTGAGAACAGGAAAGCCAAAGTTCTATTTATTACCCTTGATTTTTTACCACTATTTATTTTTCTAAGTAGGCACATTTCTTGTCTTGGGCAGGGGAAGAAAACTTTAAGTATTTAATTTGAGCAACTGAACCTCATTACAATGCAGTAAATCCATGGGAGCCACTGTTAGCAAATATAAAAGTTTAAAATTGTGGACACCACATATGTCTTACAAGAGCTCTGGAAAAATTTAGAATGCAGAATTCCTACTTTTGGGGTAGTATGAGAGAGGGAAAATCCTAAACTTTTCTAGACAGATAGAGCAAAATGTACTTTTATTGACAACCAGAGCTAACAAGTTAATGGCAACAGAGGGATGAAAGACTGGAGTTAAAACTGGAGTGGGAGGTAGAGGGACAGAAGTGACTGGGGAGGCTCACTTGTTCTTTGAGCTGATTCACTTTCTCTTGAAGAAGCCTTTTCACCAGTTTCAGTTTCTGTTCAACTTCTAGCATTCGTTCCTCCATGACAGTTACCAGTTGTTCCTGGCTTCCCTGAAGGAAAGGAGGAAAAAGTGCTTTATCATTTGAAAATCATGCCACACTGAAGCCACTAGTAGTCTATTCTTCCCATAAGAAGGCTGGAGAAAGGACAGCCAATGTTTTGCCTTTATAATAGGAAGATGGATTTCTGATGAAATGGGAATTCTGAGCAGTGCATGGGTTGAACATATTAGAAAAGTAGCCCAATCAGAGAAAGAATCAAAGATAAAGAATCTTACCTGTGGTACCATCGTCCCCTGATATAAAGCAAAATTCTTAAAACCCATAATTGAATACCTATACCTTCCACCACAATACTATGGAATACTGAGGGCCTCTCAACAAGACAAACACTGAGTTTATTCACTGAGTGTTTCCAATCATCTTGTAACATACATCTCTTTTTCCTATGAAATGACTGATTACTGTGCGGGTGTTAGAATTTTTTCTTCATGATAACCAGGCTCTTCTGGCCAGTTATTCTAGTCATCTGTTTACCAATTTGACCTTTCAATGCGAAGTAAACATCTGGATTGGAGGATACATTTATCATCAAAGCAGATTGGAAATGAATATTTTCTTCACACCAACAACCCTAGACAAAACCACAGAGCAGGAAGAGGGCCCTGGCCTTTCCTCTTCTTCTCACATGTCAGTGATGGGTTAAGGAGTAGGAGGGTTCAGGAAGCAGAGTGACCTAGAGAGAGATTAGCGTGTGACTGTCCACACTCTACACCCATAGTCCACCAAAACATCCACGGAAGGGATTACAGATCCCAAAAGGTGCTCCAAATCTCTAAGTAGAGCTCAGGTGTTAGTAATTGGCTGATGGTTCTTAAGTATTCTTAAAATGGCATACATTAAAACACATGAAGCATGATTGAATATGAGTTGAAAGCCAACATTTGCTTGGATTTAAATAATAGCACTTAATCTTAAAAGAAACAACTAAACCATGTGACTAATATGAAGATAGAAACCACATTCATCAAACACAGAAAGCATATTTCAATAAGCTGGGCCTTGAACGTCTAGCTTTTAAAAGGGCCTATATTTTAAAAGATACAATACTTTTTAAAGTTCAAACATACGTGAAAAATGCTTGATTTCCATTTGCCTATAAAAACAAAACAAAAGACCAGAATAACAAAAAATTCAAAGAACATGGAGTATGGCAAAGAATGGGAGGAAAAAGAGGAAAAACAAAGGCAGTCACATATTTAAAATTTATTTTATTGTTTTGTCAAAATTTTCCTTTTTTCTGTCAAAAGTATTATACATCTTATACAAAACAGTATAAATAACCCTGATTTTCTTCAAATTCCATATATAAAAGTAGTACCTTTTGTAAAAATAATTACAACGTATGGAATGAGAAAATATACAGAATACATCCTTTCAAGAATCTTAAATCCACATTCTTTAAATAGTATAAATAAAATGAGTTATAATAAGCTGAAATTTGTGAATTTGATTCACAAAGTCTATCATTTCTACATAAATAAATAGGAGACATAATACTGCAAAGGCCTAACAGTAAAAATAATAGAATTTAAAAGAGCACTTGATTCCAGCAAATCTCAGCTCATGTCTCTGTGTGGTGTGTGGTGTGTGCGTGTGTGGGTGTGTGTGTTTGAGAGTTTGCCATGGTAACAAATGCCATCAATAGCAGCCCAGTTCTCAGAGGTGCCCAATCCTTCTGTAGGAATCTGCATGCACTGCTCGCTGCTCCGGTAGCAAGGCCTAGAGAAAGAAGGCAAGTGGTACACTTCACCCTCATGTCAAGATTATGGGGTTCTTAGGGGAGTCTAAGTACACACATCTATAATGCAAATGATTTTTAAAAGCACACTAATTAACACCACATAGGCAAGCAAAGCAACACAAAGAAGAAATTACATCACTTCACACACAAAGACAACACAGCGTGCAGATTGAAACAACACTCTGTATTCTTAAAGTTACTGTCAGCTCTGCAACTGCAAAGGGGATAACCTGAAGCAACCCTCTAGCGATAAGTCCACCCTCTCATTGGAACTTGTTTTTGGGTACAAGAATGTTAACAATTCTTGTTTGTTCCTGAAGTAATTGGAGTAGAGGGATTTGTTTTTTAAATTTTCAAACATTGGTCAGTGGGTTGGGAAGTTCACACTTTGAAAATAGTGTGTATAGGGCAGCAATGAATAAAATGTTAGCCAAATCATTTGGTTTACAGGGCCCACTAGAAACTAAGGCCAAGTTTTCATATTTCAACTCTATTATGAAGAGTGAGCCCTCACTCTGGCCCTCTACCATGATGACTTTAATTCAAAATTTGATTTTTAACACTGGGAAGTTGAAGTGATTTTATACAAACACGCATATGTATATATATATGTGTGTGTGTTACACACACATGAATTTAAGAACACACTAAAAAAGACTTCAAAGTTCTGTTAGGAACAATGAGTGGTAGATAGCAGACATTATAGCAAAGCACAGCCATATACTAGTAGGAGAGGAAAGCAGAACGGGTCCTACAGGCAGTGCAAAGCCACTCTGATACTGAGTGCTGGTGGCTCACATCTGTAACCCTAGCTACTCAGGAGGCAGAATCAGGAGGATCCTAGTTCAAAGCCAGCTGAGTGAACAGTTTGTGAGACCTTATCTCAAAAATACCCAACAAAAAAAGAACTGGTAGAGTGGTTCAACTGGTAGAGTGCCTGCCTAGCAAGTGTGAGGCCCTGAGTTCAAACCATAGTATCACAAAAAGCAAACAAAAAAGCCACTCTGAAAGGATTAAGAAAGAGCTGGGTTGGGTGTTGGCTCACACCTGTGATCCTAGCTACCTGCGGCTGAGATTGGGAGGATCACTGCTTCAGGCCAGCTTGAGCAGAAAGTTTGAAAGACCCCATCTCAACAAATAGCTGGACATGGTGGTGTGTGTCTGTCATCTCAAGATATACTGGAGGCTGAGATTGGGAGAATCATGGTTTTAGGCCCGTGTGGGCAACAAAGCTTGTGAGACCCCCATCTCATCAGGAAAAAGCTTGGAGTAGTGGTGCATTCCTTTCATTCCAGGGACAGCAGAAAGCATGGAACAGAAAGATCGTGTTCTAGGCAAAATATCCAAAATAACAAGAGCAAAAAGGGCTGGAGGCATGGCTAAAGTGGTAGAACTCCTGCCTCACAAGTGCGAAGCCCTGATTTCAAACTCCATTACCAACAAAGAGTTGGGAAATTCCTTATCAAATGTTAACTGAGAGGTAAAGAAATGCATATAATCCAGAAAGAATTTAGAATTCTGCAAAGGAAATACTCTTTATGTGTTATTCCCAATTATGACCTAACTAAACAGAAAAGAGTAGAGAGCTAATAAACTTGTGATAAAGGAGGATTGTGCCTGACGCACTGAAGGAAATAACTCTTTGAAAACCTACATAATACAAGGTTGTATGTGGTAGTGAGCCAGGATGATGCTAATTCAAAGGGAATGGGAAGATCTTTGTTTTCTTAAAAATACTATTTCAAACCAGATTACTCAAAAAATTGAGTTAAATGAACTGTATCTACTCAGAATATGCCACTAAGTATACAGTCCACTTCACTAGGACAGTGCCCAATTGCAAATGCCATGGAATTTAGCAGGCTCCACCTCTCAACACTCAGAGTATTTTGTTGAGTACTGAACATCCTAGAGTTATACTTGAATTCTGTCATATTTTTTAGCACCAGACTAGATGGTAGGCCAACTGCAGACTATGCACAAGTGATCCTGATATTCATCTGTTACCGTGTGCAAAGGAGACCCAGACACCCACTTGCCGGTAGAAGCTGAGAAGGCAAGAGCAGCACTGCAAAACCAAGACCAGCACCGTAGGCCTGTGAGCTTGGAATACAGGGAAGGCATAACTATGATAGAAGAGGCAGGTTCTTTATCCCCACCTTTGAACTGGTCTAACTTTCAAACAAAGGTTAAAACGAACTAGGTCTTCAGAGTTTGCCAGCTGAGGAAGAGAACGCTTTGTACCTGTGGTGGGTTGGTTTCGGAGGTCCTGCTGTTGAGTTCCTCCTGCAGGTGCTGGTTTCTCCTTTCTGCCTGTAGCAGCTGGTGTTGAAGCTGCAGAAATTGCTCCCTGGGCACCATCGGACAGGCTTGCTGCTGAAGCAGCTGCAGATCCCAGTGAGGGGAAGGGCTATGCATCACAGTGGACCTCAGGTGCTGCATCTGCAGGAAAAGGGCAAAGGCATGGTCAGAGCAGTGCCTTCACTCACAGAGCTGCCCTGCAAGGTGTCAACTGGGAGTAGCAAAGCCTCTGAATTCCTTAATGGCCTCATACCCACTGATAGCTTGGAAACAGGACAGCATGTGAGCCGAAGTGACATAAAATGAGAAGAGTCATTTTGCTTAGAGACTTACAAGTTTAGAATTTAAAAATAGCATTTTATCACTCTTGAATGACTCTAAGGACATGTGGTGCATAGTACGTTTAAGTTCTACCTCACTTTTTTTTTTAAAGCTAGAACATTTAATTATCCTCTTCTCATTTTTTAAAAACTGGGCTTGGAATAGAGAAGTCAGGGAAGAAAGGATTTTACCACTTACTTACCATTCATAATGATTTTTAAAGGCAAAATTAATGACGACATATTTTCCGATGTCAAATTAACAATTATGTTTGAAGAATCTTATGCTTAAAATTATTTTAATCTATTTTAACTTACCAGTGTATAGTTACATCCTTAAATAGCACAATAAAACAGGCAATTCTGCAGCATAAAGGTATAACCTAGAATGCTTTCTAGGGTTTTCAGTATACAGGATAGAGAAATATTTGTTCAAGACAATGACAATGAGGAAATGATGTATCAACATGCCAATCAAATTTAGGGAGGGAATTTGAGGAGAGTGCACTATAATTCGGCTAATGGAATGTGCCTCCTTGCATCTGTCAACACAGTCAGCAGACACAGGGTTCAAGGGAAGTCATGCAACAAACAGGGTCAAGGACTACACTTGAGAGGAAACACCTCCAGGATTGTGGGAAGGGAAAAGAACCTCTCAGACTCAAGTATAATTAGGTGTTATGAAACTTCAGAGCCACTATTCATTTCCTGAAATCTAAATTTCTGAGGCGGGCCATTATCCATTTTGAAGTACTTCTAGTTGTAGATTTGAAAATATACCACTTTATTGTCATGAATAAAAAACGTGGAGAATTATGATCCCATGACTTTATATCAGTGGGATAATTCTTTATATATAATGCTTTAAATACTGAGGAATATCCTGATGTAACTGGAAAAAGACACATTTCACAGTTAAAGCAAAATGAAAAGAATACTGGCTCTTTCCTTAAGTACTTATTAACTGTTATGGTCAACAGAAACAATGATGAACAAAGTGTAATGAGATGTCCCCATGCTAAGAACGTTCATTGAAAGAGAATCTTCTACCTTCACACACTATCTCAGGCAGAGAACCACGCCTTTCTCTGCTACTTCCAACCACTGAGTTCTAGGTACAGGTTAGCCACAGACAAAAACAAATAAAAGAAAAGTACAGGAGTTATAAAAAGAGGAAGAAAAGTATGAATTATAGAAAGAGAAAAAACAGTATCACTTGGCATATTATATAAACATAAATAAGAGCATATGATGGACTGAAACTAACATTTTTCTGTACGTAAATTTTACATTAAAATGCTTATACCTGTAATTCTGCAGCTGCATCCTCAGCTACTGTAATTTGGTTGGTTTGTTAGCTTGCTACCTTTACCTGTACCATCCTGACAGGATTCCACATCCAGCATGGAATAGGTCTCATCTTGCCACTTGGAGAAGCAGAATATAAACTCTAAAACATCTTTGCTCGACTGTCTGAACTGCTGGTTATCACAGGGACACACAGCAGACTTGAGAACTGCTGAGACAAAGTCTGTAACCCTTTTTTGGAATGTTCAAAATGAATTGTTTACTAAATATTGCTGCACATAGTTGAAAAGGTCCTGGAATTGGAGTCAAATTCCCATTAAATTTTCCATTTCCTGGTCTTGTCATTTGCAATCTTTAACTACACTGGAGGAGGGTATGTACTGCATTAGATCAGTGACCTTTAACCTATAGAGATGAAGAGAGAATCCCTTTCCCAAGGAAGTACATGACCTCTAATCAGAATCATTTAGAAAGCTTTTCTCAAATCTTAGTCCCAAAGGTGCTCATGTAGGAAAAGTCCCCTGCCAGCTCACTGCTCCTCTCCTCCCTTTCACTAGGTAAGAATCCCTGCTAGAGAGGAAGAAATACAGCCATCCTTCAAGTGATGGAGGGTACCAAAGGTGGTTTGAAGGCCATTGTACATCCCCTGATCTGGCCTAATCCATAGATCTCATACTGTACTTCAACTAATAAGACTAGTGGGGAAATGGTTAAGCTTAATGGGTAGTTTCTGTTTGGAGTGATAAAAGATTTTGGAAGTGATGAATATAATGAATGCCATTGAATTATAAGCTAAAAAATGGCTAAAGTGAAAAATTATATGTATATATTTATCAAAGCTTAAAAATTACTAATGTAATATACCTCAAACCATTGAACTGTATACTTTAAATATATAAGCTGTACATTATATGAAGTTATATCTTAATAGAACTGTTAGAAAATCCAATCTGAGGGCAGGCATGGTTGCATTAGATCCCAGCTACTCAGGAAGTAGAGGTAGGAGGACTGAGATTGAAGGCCAGTCAGGATAAAAGTGCATGAACCTATCTGGAAAGCAAACTAAAAGCAAAAGTACTGGGGGCATGGCTGGTAAAGGCTTGCCTAGCAAGTCCTACTAAGTGCTTTGAGTTCCATCTCCAGTATCATAAAAAGAAACAAAGAAAACAAATCCAATCTGTATAAATCTATAGAGTTAAGTTTCATTAAAATAGTGTATGAAATGTTTGTTCTGGTGGGTGTGGTGTAACTTCAGCACTCACAGGGCAGCAGCAGGAACACTGTGAATTTGAGGTTAGCCTGGGCTCCACAGCAAAAGCAAAGTATATGAAATGTTCTTTATCATGTTTAAATGGAAAATTCAGGCTTAGTTATTAGTTATTAAGCTCCAGTGCCAAGAACACTCAATATTCCTTATCTATTAGAGACCAAGAGAAAAACGAAAGGAAATTACTTATGGTGGCTAACACTATCAAGTGGGCTGGGAGAGAAGGGGCTTCCCGGGCGAGGGAGCAGGCGAAGAACAGCCAATTGGTAGAGCATTTGGAGAGGACCCAAGGGTGGGTAAGTCCACCCTGTTACCAGACTCAATGGGCCTGGCTTCAGATTGCTTACTCATTATAGTCTACAATTATTTCATCAGAAATAAGCACAGCCTGGGGCTCAAGGTTTGAATGTGTTTATTATATGCTATCAGAAAACATGGTATGGATGTCACTATTTATAGTTTCTCTTATCTCCCTGCTAGTGGATAAACCAGAGAACATAAAATTGCCAGAAACCTCAGTGGTTACTTAAATGTCAACATGATATGGCTGCCTGCGTTTCACATTTTAAAACTAAGTACTAAAGTTACCTTGGCATATGTCCAGCTTTATAAAAGGAAAAAAAAAATTAACTATCTCCCTTCCTTCCTGCAATTCGGGATTAAAAAATATTTGTGTACATAGTAGTCTGAAGAGCACAAAAGAAATTTCCTATGCATGCTTCTCTCTCTTGAATTAACTGAAGCACATTATATCAGTGAAATTTTTACTTCTTAAGGACAGTTTGTGCAAAAGTTGATTTATATCCTCGAATGGTACTCGGTATGTAGCAGAAAGCAAACTGGTAAACTGGGACTCTGTACAACCTGACAACCTGACATGTTTTCCAAATCATTTTTATATTTATCAGTGCTAGGCTCTTACAAGGCAGTGCTAGGCTACAAATGTAGTAATAAACCACAGCAACTCTTTTTTTTTTCCAGTACTGTTAGCTGAACCCAGGGCCTCACACATGCTAGGCAAGTGTTCTACCAATTGAGCTACATTCCAGCCATACAATAGCAACTAGCTGCTGAAAATAAACCTTCCAAATATAAATGCTCTCAGAATTTCTGTATGGATTTCCTTACTGAAGAGTGAACACATGAATAAAACACCACAGACAGAAGGTATTGGCACACTATTATACACACTGATGGTGGCAGAGCTCTAGGCCCCTTGGCCAGTATCAGGCAGAGTCCCTGTCACCTGAATTTGCCGAGGACAGGTCTTTGCATTTTGGGTCAACATTATTCTTTCCTCTGCAAAGCAGTATGGCATCCTGTGACTGCGTAATTAATGAAATAAACCAAAGAATGTAGCTCGCCAGGGTACTTGGATTTTCGTAACAGGAATTCAATGCCTGTTTCATCTCCCAACAAATAACTCATTAATGGATTAAAATATTCTTCATAGGTTAAGGCCATTTGTTCAAAAACTTACCTCCATTAGCCTCTCATCCAGTTTCACTTGTTTCTTTTTCAGGCCTTCATTTTCCAAATGAATTGTTTCTAATTCTTGTTCAAGGGAATTCATCTGACTGACCTGTTAAAAAACAAAATACCCTTTAAAAAATACAGAAAAATACCCAGTTGCTCCATTTTATTTTGATAAATTTCAGTTAGTCAGAAATTTCAGTTCTCGGAAGAAAGGTAAGGTAATTCAGCATCAGAAACAACAAACAATGCAATTCAGTGATTGCTAGCTAGCATTGACATAACCTAGGTTTCTGTTTGATCACCACTTTGTACCTAGAACAGATTTTGTAAGGCACTGTAAGAAATAGATGTTATCCTGTAACATAGTAATCCCTCCTCACCCCATTTGTGTGTGTGTGTGTGTGTGTGTGTGTGTCCAGTCAGTCGTAAGTATGTATCAGAGAAAGGAAATACTTACAAAATAATACTTACTCTTACCAGGAGGCATACGTATTTTATCAATTAAAAAATGCTGATTTTTCACTAAGTTAGTTTAATCATTGTCTGTATCTGCCAAGGGAAATCACTGCCTGAGAATACACAAATCTTCATTTCTATAACTCTCTTTTCAATTTTAAAGAAGAAATTTGAGGGTCTTAAAAGTATCCATTTGTAGAATTCTTCTTACTACAGAAATATTGTAATGACCTAAGTACGCTGTGATATTATAAGTAGAAAACACTATTCTAAAAGCTGATTTCTGCTTCTATCAAAAAAAAAAAAAAAAGCTGAGGAGAGCAGCAAGATTTGTTCAACAGAAATGCAGTAATTCCAGATCTACTTTAAATTCAATGTTATTTTAAAACCTCCTGTAAGACTTTTCCCTTGGTGAGCAGCTAGATGAAGCTGACTCCCTGCCAAATTTACTTAAAACTAACTGAGATTAAATGATATTTCAGCATAGAGCATCATTAGCCTTCAATAAGCAAATGGCTACAACTTTCACAAGTTTATAAAATTTATAATAGTTTATAAAAGCAATATTGATCCTTCTTCCCAGATTTTTAAACAAACCAATTTTTTTTTTTTTTGGTGGTGGTACTGGGGTTTGAACTCCAGTACCTGCTTGCTAGGCAGGTGCTCTACCACTTGAGCCATTCTGCCAGCCCAATAGACCACATTTTTGAGAACAGGAAGGTAATGGTGAAAACTCAAGCTTCAGTTTAGGGAAAGAAAGAATGACATGGTCTAGAACCCTAACTCTAGGAGACAGTATAAGAAAGCAAATGGAGTACGTGACAGAGATCTGAGCATGGAGGGGCCAGCCTCCAGTGTGGCCCCTCCTTCCACACTGCAAGGGTCAGTCTGTGTGTGTAGACTATAGTAGATATGCTGGTATGTCATTTATTCTGAGATTACATTATGAGAGACACTATTGAATCTATCTTGGTCTTTTGGTCTTGGTGTCTATCTCTCAACACTACTTCTAGGGGAAGCCAGCTTCCACATCCTCAGACAAGGCCCACATGGCAAAGAACTGAGGTCTCGAGCAGTCTGCCATCCAAAAAAGAAACCTCTTGCTAAATTATGAGTGAGCTTGGAAGGTGGATCTCCTACCCTCAGTGGACCCTCAGGTGACCACAGCCCTGGCTGTGGCAAGCTCACAAGAGCCCAGCTAATGCTTCTGAATTCTGTCCTACAGACACTGAGACAACAAATGTTTGTTCAACTAATACAGAACATATCAAGATGTTTCTAACATTCAGGATATATATGTATCTTTTGCTTACATACAAAGGCTTATAACAGAAATGAAGATGATTAACTTGTCTTCCTAACAAAATTACTCTTTTTTTCAACCATTATTTAATCAAAAAGAACTATGGGACTATTTTGACAAAATTCTAACAGCATAAAGGCATATAATGAAACGTCAAAACGTGCCACTGTAATCACTTCTTTGGAAGCATGAAGAGCAGGCTGGGGCAGGGCTCCAGTCATAGAGTGATGAGAAACCCTAACTTCAGTCCTCATAAACCACCCCTCATCCTGCAAGGAAGAAAGCATGCATAGCAAGAAACATACAGGGGACACATTCTAGTCAGAACCCAGGCGCACACTTTCAAAACTCACCTTCCTGATAGTAGGAGATCGTTCTTTCTGAAACTGTTCACACTCTCTCTTTAAGTTCAACTTTTCTTGTTCTGTGGGCTTCATAGTGCCTGATGGGTTTAGATGTTTTTGGTGTTTAGGAGGAAGAAGGCTAGATTCCAGCTGGCGGACCTGGCAAGAATGAATGTAAGAGGAAGAAATGCTTGCAGAATCATCCAGCCAGGAAAAAAAGATAGGAAACCTTTTATTCAGCATGTGAGTTGGGTGGTATTAAAACTTTCTTAGCTGGGACTACAGCTACTAGAGAGACTGAAGCAAGAGGATCACTTGAACTCAGAAGTTCAAGATCAGCCTTATCCAACAAACAACAACAAAACTTTCTTTTCAGTCCAGCCTGCTGATTCTTGAATCCTACTTTTCTGAATGTCCAAAGTTCCTTTCTAGGTAAATTGGGTTGGATGCACAAACCCAAAACCACAAGGACAAAACAGGGAGGAAGCAATGGAGTTAATGTGAGTGATGTGAATGCCAAGAAAATGGACAAAGCAGTTCTAGGCCCTTTGGTCCTGGCATGAGCAAAACTTTTAGGAACAACTGAGGTGACAGTCCTACCATCTCTTATCATACTTCTCATAACTGAAGCAATGCATTCACAGGTACTAAGTTCCTTGGAAGGGACCATGTCTGTCTTGTTCCCCACTGCACTTCAGTGGATAGCAGAGTTTCTGAATAGAGCAGGTATTCTAAAAGAAAATCTGACCCTTTAGAGAGCTCCTATGTGGTGAAGGTTAAATATAAATGGTCAACTATGTAGCCAAGGTAAAGAATTCAAAGATAACCTTTACCAATCATTCCAACCTTGAATGCTGACTCTCTACAGTTGTTTCTCATAAGGAGTTAGCTAGACCCACACTAGCTGAGTCTAGTTTTGCCATTTTCATAACCACGGGCCTGGGAAGCTAGCCAGTTTGAATGAGGAATATATGGTTAACATAATTTCCATGAGTTGGTATTTTTGATATAAGGATGAAGATCACAGATTTATTTTAATATAGAACTGCTTATATAAAATGAAAAATATTTTATAAACATAAAATTATATACAAGTTAATGATAAATTATACATTCTTAAAAGAAGCCCGCCATTGCAGGACACTCAAATCTATACCCGAGAAGCCCTTCAGTCATGTCAATCACAGGCCATCATGTGCAACTTTTTGAGTTACCTTCTCTTGGGAGTGTGTGAGCTCTGCTTTGGTGTTCTCCACTACAGTCTGGAGTCTCTCACTCTCATGCCACAGCAGCTGTTGTTCCTTGTTCATCAGGTGATCCAACTGTCCCAAGACAGCTTTCCTGCTGGTTGTGGAGCCCTGATGGATGGGTGGCTATTTCTGGGGCCCAGTTCTTAAGAGAGAATTATGGAGTTAAGCCTCAAAAACAAACTGATGGGTAATTTCTCTTTTGAGAAAGGTGTCCTATTGACCTAATGACAACAATGCTTAGTAAATACCTTTCACTCTTTTGTCTTCTAATGTGCATGTATATATAGACATAAACCAAACAATATTCTTAGATTTGATTAAAAAAGGTTTGGATGTACAAGGTCCTGGGTTCAATACCCAGCATGGCAAAAATAAAGTATAAAAATTTAAATTAAAAAAGGTTTGGAAATTCTGTTTAAAATGATCATTGGCAAGACAGTCCAGTCAAATTCAATAGCAAATATGATTGACTGTAGGGCAAGTTCCAGTTCCATACAGAATCCAAGTGCCTGGAGATTGGTGTCTTAAAAATTGCCTTGTTCTTGGTAAGTCATTTTTTAACCCAGATAAAACTCTTTTAATTAACAGAGGACACAAAGGGAACTCTGAAAGTCATGGCCACCCTGCAAGCTTCCAAAGGTAAACTCTTCTCTCATTTTTACATAAGCAGTCAGACCCCTCTTCAGAACCCAAAGCACATACTGTCACACGATTGAGGCCTGAATTCAGGAATATGCTTTGAGCTACCAAAGTGACATTGGTTGGATCCTAAAAATAATTTTAAGAACTTAAAAAGGTAACACAACTAGATAAACTTCTTTCTTTTTAAGCCAAACATGAAGAAGATAACAAGGTTCAATTTCATTTTGAGAAAAAGCTCAACCCAGAGATAATTTTTAAAACAGAAACAGCTATCTTATTCTTTAATTACTATCAACCAAGAGATAAAATAACTGAATGAGGGTTTACTTTTATTATAGGACAAAAATCTTACCATCTACTCCAAGACTTACACTCATAACATTGTTCTTAATTTATCTGCACACAGATTAAGCAGCATTGAGATATTTTAAGATGAGACTTTCTAACAGCGCCATAAATGCTTTTAGCAGCTCTTCCTGTGTCACAGCAGTGACGGATGTGGTAATGATGGGTTACCTCATAAAGGCAGGTACTCCTGTTTTAAGCCACAGGTTTTCTTTTCAGCAGTTTTACTTTTTTTGCAGCCTCTGTGTGTTCTTAGATTAATTTCTTTCAGCATTTTTCTTTGCTGAATTGTTTTTAGGGTAAGATGAAAGCTCTTAAAGTTTGAAAATGTTTTAGTTTTGTTACTACAAAACTCAACTCAGCCACTGTCTTTTAACTTGTTTGACACAAAAATGTACATTTTTTGCTATTACTAAGTTCTATTTATATGAAGATTAGAAACAAACAGCCTGACCTAAGATGACAGAGTACCAATGTGGGTCCCTTGGGGCTATCAACTGGAAGGGTCACAAGAGAGCCAGCCAGAAGTGTTTTGTATTTTGAACCAAGTGATAGTTACATAAATATGCCTATATGTAAATCATATATGATGTTTACATCTCAAAGACACAAGTAAAAAGGATCAATTTATAGACTAAACATCTGTGCACTTTATCATAAATAATTCACAACTAAAAAAAAAGTTACCTTGTCACTAGCATTCTGGAGTTGTTTTTGTAAAGACATCACTTCCTGTTTTAAAGCCTCCTTTTCCTGCTGCGTCACTTGGAGGTCAGATTTAATCTGGGACAGCTGAAGGTTTGCCTTCTGCAGGGTCTTTTCTAAACTCTGAACCTGCACGTGAGAACAAGTTTACACTGCTACACAGCCCTGGTGATCTCACCTCCAGCCCAACCAGGAACAAATGAACAAGGACAAGGGAACTCCAAGTCCCTTCTGCTTCTGTTCACAATATCCAGTTCTCTTAGCTGCAGCTCAGTGGTAACCCAGGATATTATGTTAACTTATATTTAGGAAAATGATAAAGTGGCCCGGAGCAAAGTATTGCTGATAACAGTCATTTGACAGACGGGCACGGGTATCACAAAGGACATTTCCACTGAAGCTTGTAGAAACATTTTTGCTTGTGGTATTGGTATACAAAGGACCTCTTAGTTGAAAATAATATCTACTTATAGAATCCTACTCTACATTAACATCTCAATACATTTAATTAATGAAATTTAAATTTGTAAAAGGAATTTAAGTATCTTTAAGTATAACAGGACAAGAACCTGCTTTAGAAATCCTATTTCTAAACTAGGAACAAGCAGTCCTATCCTGAAGCTTTCATAATAAATAATCTTATAATTAATGAACGTGGAGGGAAACACTGTTTAATTTATTTTGCATACTATAAACATGAGGAATTAGGTGCTACCGAATTATTCTAAGTTCTCTTGGGCCATTCTCAGCTGGAACATTCCTTCCACTGGAATTTCTTCTGGAAGATACTGGAAAATATTAACTATGGAGATGAAGCAAGTATTACTCACACACCTTCTCCTGAGAAGCCACCAGCTGTGACTTTAAGCTATCACTCTGCTGCTCCCAAGACTTCTGTTCTTGCTTCATCGTGGCAATTTTGTGCTCTAGAAGGCTTGATTTTGCCAACTGTCTCAGGAAGAGAAGGAAGAGAGTATTTTTGAAAACATATTTAGCTTCAACTTACAGACCTCCACTCACATGGTCAAGATCAACTTCCCTCTGCTTATATGGGGGATTAGGGCAAAGTAACGGAAAGACTATTCTACTTCCAATCTTGAGAATTCTCTTCTTTTTGTGGTTTTTCCCTTTTTTTTCCTCACGGACTAATATTTTGAAGGTGGGAAATGGGCTGGAGACAATTAGAAATCTCAGGACTGTAACAGGAAAATAAAGAATGCCTGCCTTGAAGGCTGGTAGGGGGAAAAAAGGTGCGTTTTTGATCTGCTTGGAAAAATATAATAGAAAACGTATCTATGAAATTGATCTCAGATTATCAAAAACAATATTTATAGAGGTCAGATTAAGTAGCATTATGGTATATTAAAATGAGACATGTTTACAATCTTCGTTTAGTGACAGCTAGGGTCACATAATGCCAGCTAAGACGTTGTTCCTGGAAACTCGGGAAATCAGGCTAACACAGGAGGCCATGGGCCTGTCCAGAGTGAAATGCTCATTATGGCATGTACTCTACGATGAAGGTCATTTCTTATTATTTTTACTACCTTATCCACACAGCTATTTAATTCTTCACTTAGAGCTTCTTTTTCTTTCTGGAGCTTTTCATTGTAGCTTAGAACACTGGAAATTTTTTGCTGGAAGTCAGAGAGATCAGGACATTTGTGCAGCTGTAAGAGACAAGGAAGTCCTGCCATTAGCTCCTGGCTGTGTTTATAAACAGTACATTTTCATGGCTCTCAGATTTCCCTATCTGTAGAAATTTCAGAGGACACATAAACTCTAGCAGACTATAATTAACTTTGACAATCTGCTCCTTGCTAGCTTCTTTCTGCTCCACTGCTGACTGTGAAACATCTGCTCAGAGAGACTCAGACACTGTTGAATAATGACAATAGCTTTCCATTTTACCTTCACATCTACTAACATACTGCAATTTTGCCATCGATTAACTTGGGCACACAAAGCATATTACATTTTCCTCATGTTTTTTTAATTAGAAAAGTATTTAAAAATCTCAGTCAAGTCCACAGAACTGCTGGGCATGGTGGGGCACACTGTAATCCCAACACCTGGGAGGCTGAGACAGGAGGATCATGAGTTTGAGGCCAGTCTGGGCTACATAATGAGAGAGCACAGAATTGGGATGAGTCACCTACAAGGTATCAAGGTAACGATCACTGTTTTTCAGCTTGCTCCGTGTGCCCTTCCCTCTGGAGGATTCCTAAACCAATCTGCAGTAACATGCAGCTGGTGAGCATACACTGGCTTCCTCCTCTGCACTTTATGGAATCAAGGCAAACCAGACTTTTATTCCTTTTCACCATCAACGCTGGCACTATTGACACTCTGGGTGGGATGATTCTTTGTTATGGAGGGCTGCCTGGACATTGGCTTTATCCAGTAATGCTGTCCCTCAATTTGCAAAAACCCAAAATGTCCTGGGGTCAGAGCCCAATCCTAAGTGCCAACCCTGTTGAGAACCACTGCTTTGCAAGGGCTCATTGCAGACATTCGTTCTCTTGAGATGATCCGCTTTTAGTCTATTGAAAGTGTATTCCTTTCCCAATAACCTTTACTTCATTTTTTTTTAAAGAGGCTCATTGTTTCCTATACTCCTTAACCTGCTTAACCCTTTCCATAATTAATAAATTTTGCACTTGGCTTTGGGATTTTTAATTCTTTATTATCATTATGATATGGCCATCTTTCTATTTCCTACCCAAAGTTCATCTACATTTAACTTTAGAAATAGTTATGGCAAAAGAAGACTTCATGGGTTGAATCTTGTCTTCAATTGGCAACAAATCCAATATACCTTCCAAGGCAGAAGGATACAGGAAAATGTACTTGAAGGTCCCCGGATGTTGGTACAATGAAGGACCTACTCCTCCCCCACTACTTGGCTCCCCACCTCACAAATATCAGAAAGTTTGATGCCATTTTGGGTGTCTCTAAGTCTTGCTGCTGCTACTAGCATTTCTTTCCAGTGCAAGAGACAGCACACATGAAAGTGCTGCAAGGGCACAGATGTCACACCGAGTGGCATAAGCTTTCCAGGTCCAAGTTGTATAGCAACAGAAATGGTCTGACACTATCTCACTGGATTCCTGGACCTGATGAAGAACTTCCTGCCAAATGCAGACAGTGCTCACTGGTTTTCTATCTCACTACTTATAGCAATGCCTTGTGAAAGCTGTGTAATAAAAATATGGCAAAGGATGCCCCCATTGTGTTGTTTTCCTCCCATCTCTGATCCTTTCCTTCTGTCCTCTGGCTTAGTGAAGTCACAAAGCACACATTTCCCATGCTATCCATTTTGAGTTGATCACTGTCATCTTAAAGGCTGAACAACAGCCTTTTAAAAGGTAGAGGAAAAGAAGGATGTCCTAGTTTATGAGGATAAACTTAGAACAGTTTTGGGATACTCACGCACATACTTAGAGGCCCTGTGAGTTTTGAAACTCAGCTATGACAGAACAGACATACTTCACACAGCAGGACTTGTTCTTTTTATTTATTTATTTGTTTGTTTATTATTTATTTATTTATGGTGGTAATAGGGTTTGAACTTAGGGTCTCAGGCTTGCTAAATAGGTACCCTACCACTTGCGCCATGCCCCCAGCCCTTTTTGCTTTAGTTTATTTTTCAGATAGCATCTTGCTTGTACTAGGGGCGGGCCTTAGACCACAATCCTCCTACTCCGCCTCTAGCATAGCTGGGATTACAAGTGTATACCACCACACAAAACTTGAGATAGGTTGCAGTAACTTTTTTCCCCAGGCTGGCCTTGAACCACAATCCTTTCTCAATAGCTGGGATTACAGGTGTGAACACCATGCCTGATCTATAGCACTTGTTCTTGTAAACCACTTTTTGGGTACCATTCCTTTACAGGGCATCATGAAAGATACAAACTCCAGAGAATCTATTAGGTGAACAAGACTTCTATGAGTCAATGAAAAATCAACACAAATGTAGCACTATGCTATCTGTATCTAGTCTGGACTCCATGCTTCACCTTTATGCTTATAGGCTGAATGGATGTAAGAAGGAATACTTTATAATCTGATATGCCATAATATTAAAGTAACCTGAGAGTAAAGCAAACAAAATGGCACAACTAACTTCTCCTACTATAAATCATGATTATTCCAAGGGAGAGACTATTGGACATAATGAAAATTAAGAGTAAAACAGGATAATGTTTAGGATATAATTTTCAAGGTATGTCTTCTTTTGTACTTTTAGGCATTTGTTTGAAACACTGAAATAGGCCACATTTAAAGCCAAATTTATAAAGTGAGACTGCATCCCTGATAGGACTAGAGTTTATTCTCTCTCCTCCAGATGACTAATACTTGCTACAAGACTTATGAGAGTGACCAATTTAATCTGTGTCCTCACTAAAATCAGAATGCACAACTCTCAAAGTCATGAGCAAGTAAGTCCTCCAAACTAATGTTACTTTATCATCTGGCTGGGAGAAGGCAGAACAACAAATAAATTGAAATGGTTGGGATGCATTTGTAGTAACAGAATTTTAGAGTCTACAACATAAATAGACTACGTAACCGAAACAAAACATGGAGAACTGGCAATCAGATCCCTTACAAATAGCCTTGTAGGGGACTTCAAATCTTCAGCTTCACTTGTGAGCTAGTTGACAGGACCTAGTGCCAAAGGATGTGTGGTGGCTGGAAACACCACATGAGGTGTATGTTGTTCCATGACCCTTCTACGAGGCACACAGCTTACTTGTTTCATTTTCTCCAGTTCATCTTTGAGAAGGAGGTTCTCCTGTTCCACAATGTGGGTCTGTATTTTAACTTCAGAAAGTTCTGCCTCCAGAGAAGACACTAACATGGAGGACTAAGAGAAAATATAAAAGTCAGGTATTCACTCAGGCTTGCTCCTTAGGTTCATATAAGCAGTATTAAGGAAACAATAATACCAAATCAATGACATGATGTTTTATAACCAGTTAGCCTTATATTCAATGGAGCTAACCAAATTACCTTAAAAGACTTGGCACTTAAATGGCCTGTATGTGATTCCTAAGGTACCTTCTGCACATTTCTCCACTGTGCCTCCTCTTGGGGAAGATGCTTTGAGACCATGCAAATCTTGTTTCTACCTCAAACTTCTGCTTTTCAATGTTAGTGTCTATCAGTGAATTCTGACTATAATAATTATTATGTGGATGTTTGCCTAAGGATGATTTTTCTATTTTATTTCTATATTTTATTCGAATTTTGTATGAAGGGCTGGTGGAGTGGCTCAAGTGGTAGAGTGCCTGCCTAGCATGTGTAAGGCCTTGAGTTCAAAGCCCAGTACCACCAAATAAAAAAAAAAAATTAGAATTCTGTATGAGCTATTGTTCCTCTTCCATTTATTTAATCAATTTTTGTTAATATGGACATTTAATATATTCTGTATTTTATTTTATATGATCTTTACTTTATTCATCAAATGGTCCCAGCTTTGGCTATTAGGAGCTCCTGTAGGTTGAGGCCTGTGTTCTTTCAACTTGTCCCATCTTTTTTTGAGCACCTTTTTCTTTTAGCACCATGAGACATTCCAGGCTCACTTTGTATTTTCTCTGCTTCAGCCCTAGAATTAGTAATTTTTCCAAGGAATCTGGATTCCTTTTATAGAAACATGGTATTTAGTGACCAAGATCTGGGTACTCTATGCAAATATGCATATCTGAATTTCTTTATCTAGCTCTGTATATATTAGAAACTATGAGTTTGCACTAATGTCTCAGATTTAAACCAACATCAAGGGTTCAACTTAGCCTTTCCTATCTGCCACTTGGAACTTCCTTCTCTAACAGTGAAATACCACGTTCTGACTGTCTACAATGTATTTATTCAGTTCTAGTATATATACAGTAATTTCAGGTACTAACTCATACCCCTACAAGAATCACAGTTACTGACTAGATTATTATAGCATTAATGTACAGTTCTTTTTGTCTTTAGTCTGGATAGTACACATTTAAGACATTAATTTTCAAATTACTTAATTCTTTTCTTCCCCAGGTTGTTTATATTAGCTACACTAATAGGTTCATTTATTTGTGTCTGTGCTCCAATTTGATATTTTCTCCCTCTCCTATCTTGATTGGTTTTACTTGTTCATTTATTTGGGGATTATTTGAAAATTATGAAATAGGACTGGGGATGTAGCCCAGTGGTAGAGCAAAGGCCATTGGCTCAACTCCCAGCACACGAATAGGATACACATGTATTTTCTAATCCCCCTTTTTCCTTACACGCATGGAAGCACACTACAGATTCTCTTTTATGCCTGTCTTTTTTACTTAACAGTATATCCTGGAAACCATTTTTATACACAAACAGAGATCTTTCTCATTCTTTTTTTTTTCTTGTAACAGCTAAATACTACTATCATGGTACGGACGAATGTACCACATGCATCTAACCACTCTTCGATGTATGAACATCTAGGTTGCTTCCACTGTTTTGCAGTTACAATCAATGCTGCAACAAACAGCTCTATACATATGAACTTTCACATTGTTGCAGGTATTTCTTTAGGATAGATTCCTAGAAATGAAATTGCTGAGCAAAAGGTAAGCATAGATGTAATTGTGTTAGGTACTGGCAAACTTCCTCCACAAGAATGGTATCAGTCTGAATCCTCCTCAGCAATATATGAAAATGTCTGCTTCTCTAAAGCCTTGCCGACAGAATGTGTTCACACTTTTAAGTTGCTGCTGGCCTTTTAGATTTTTTATTGTATTTCTCAATTTTTTAGAGTTCTTTACTAATAGAGATGTTAGCTCTCCTCTGGGTTATAAGTTATAAATATTTTCGCTCAATTGTCATCTGATTTTGTCTGTATTACTTTTTTTTGCCATGCAAAATTTTTAAAAAATAATTAATTTTTTCTTTTATTGCCTATGTTTTTTTGAGTCATAGTTAGTCTTTCTTTCTTTACACCAAGGCCAAAGACAAATTCATTCATGTTTTTTTCTAGTACTTGTACAGTTTGTATCTTCATATTTAGATTCCTAATTGAATTGGAATTTATCCTTGTGTGGTGTTATAAAATCTGAATCTAATTTTATCCATTTCCAAATGTCTATCCAGTTGTCAGGCACTACCTGTTAAAAAGTCCATCTTTATCCCAGTGGTTTGACAAGCCGCCTTTTTTACACATAGCTGTCATCCCTTGTTCCTAATGGGGGATTGGCTCTAGGACCCCTGTAGACACCGAAGTCCACAGATGCTCTAGTCTCTATAAAGTGGCCTAGTTTCACATGTAACCTACTCACATTCTCTTGTGTATGTTAACTCATCCCTAGAGTACTTATAAAACCTAGTAAAATGTAAATTGATGGTAAGTAATAGTTACACTGTATTGTTTACAGAATATAAAAAGAAAAAAAATCTACTTTTTCAGTACACATGCACAGGTTATGGAGGGCCAACTGAACTGGGCTTTCATTTGTATTTGGGCCAAATTCTAGACTTTTTATTCCATTTATCTATCCAGAATAGATATTAATGTGCCAATACCACACTGTTTTGATTAAGGCTTTATGTGTATGAAATTTAATACAAACATTTCTTTTATTTCTTGGAATTCCTTAAAAAAAAAGAAACTGTAGGGTGGCTAGACCATACCTGCACTTTATGGCGTTCCAGTTCTTTCTTCAGATTAGACTTCTCTTGCTCCCATTCCTCAAGTGAACTGTTTCCCGGCTCCTTTTCCTTCTGGCGTAGGACTGCTGCCAGACGTTGATTAAGGTCTTGCAAGTCTTCCTGGTTTTGAGAGTTCTTTTGGCTAAGTTCTGTATTTTCTGAATCCAACTGTTGGTTTTTGAGTTTTAAATCTGAAATCTAATTAAAATTAAAATAAGTTTTAAGAACTTGTTACCCTACTTCTGCTAAAAAACAGATTTACAGTCTAAATTGTTTTTTCCTTCTCTCTGAAAGTTTAAAAATACATGTAAGTAATAACAGAAATAACACATACTCATTACTACACATTCAGTCAATTCAGAAGAATATGAAGAAGAGAGACACAGTCTAACACAGGGCATCCCATTGTGTACAGCTGGATTACATAGACCGCTGGAGTATTTTCCATGCATACACAACATTCATATACACATACTGATTCTTTCTCCCTGTTTATCAAAAAGTTGGATCATTTCATATTTGGACAGTGTGCTTTTTCCACTTATAATATCTTACAGATGCTTATCTTTCCAAGTTAGTGTGTTCAGAAACCACCATATGTTATACTTTTTAGTAGCTGTAGGATATTTCATGTAGCAAGATGTCCTTATAATGCATTTATCTAACACTGCATTGATAGACATATAGGCTTATCATATTTCCTTTAATTATGAAGAAACAAAATGACCTTATGGAAAATCAATTAATAGAGGGTAGTATTTTGTATTTAGGATCATTTTGAGACATGCGGTTACTGTGTTAGAAGATCTGTGTACATATTATTGTTTTGATAGATATCCCTAAAATGTTTTCTTTACAGCTTTACAAGTTACAAACCTATTAACCATGTATTTGTCATTTCCTCATACCCTTTTCTATCCTAGATGATATCAGTGTTTAACTTTTGTTAGTTTAATAGGTGAAAAAAAAGAAACTCACTTAAACTTTCTCTAATTACTAGGAGGCTAGCCATCTTGTTATTTGTTGTGTTACTTTTTCTAGGATTGATCATTCATATCAATTGTCTGCTTTTCAACTGAGATCTTCCATCTATACACAGGAGCACAAGATATATTTCAGATGTTAACACTGACTATTTCAAAAGCTAAAAATATTCTTTTCCCAGTATGTCTTGTCTTTTAACTGTTTCAGACATGTTCTTAAATGGCCTTCCCATGACTACTAGGTGTTTTAAGATTGTACAAAATGAGCACTGAATGACAAAAATCATCTGAATAAATCATAATTCTGTGCAGTGATATGCTGATTAGCTGGCATTCTACACCTGTGAAATTCTTTTCTTAGCTTTCTGCTTTTAATCATGGCAAGGAAAAAAGAAGGGGCTAAAATTAATCAAAACTACACAAGGGCTATAACTAGAAGTCACAGGTAGGGTTTAGAGGTATCAACTCCACACTTGCGTTGGCTACAAAGGTTGTAATAGGCACTTAACATCTAGAAAAAACCAGGAACCACTGTGAGGTGAATTTTCATTTTCAAACTCAGAATTTACAACCATACCACCATTTGCAATGAGTTATTTCAGTAACACATTCATTTATTCTGTAAATTTATAAATTTCTAATTATAAAAAGAGAATCTCAGAATCCAGAAACATTGAGAAATACTATTTCCTTACCTGTTTCTTTAAATTTCCAACCATCTTCTGAATTGTTGCTTTTTCCTGCTTTACAGTTTCTATTTTTTGCCTAAAGAAACAATGAAAATACAACTTAGGAGTGAGGCTTTAACAGTGAAGTTAAATAGTTTTTAGTTCTAAAATGTCTTCAGACAATTTAAGTATACTCTGTCTTACCACAATTCTTCCTGTGATCCATTTAATGTGCCTAATTTCAGGTTAGAAATGCTATCTTCTTCATTTAAAGTAGTAATTTCATTTCTCAAAATAGAATTTTCCTCTTGAAGCTTTTCAGATTCATATCTGAAGTATAGAGATTTTTAAAAAGTTACAACATGGCAGTCATCTGGCATCTTTGGAAAATCGTTTCTAGTAACTTCCAATAAAATAAGTGTTCCATGCCAGTTAAAAAGAAGAGTCTAAATTAGTAGTCTCTTAGTACTTGGAAATGAAGTTATGACATACTGATTCAGTTTGGGGGTGGGGAGAGTAAGAATTTCACTAAGAGACGTTAGGAAGTGTGGCTAAAAAAGCTTGAGGCTAGAGACAGGAATGGAGACAAATGCCAATTCTGGCCGCTGATTTTCTCAATGGCAGGCCTGTTGCTCTGAGCAAATGATCTCATTTACCTCAGTCCCAATTTCTCCCTGCTCTAAGTAGACATGTCACATTACTAAGTGGTATTAGTGATTTTTAATGTCAGGCCCCCCTTACCTACATACACCAAAGGGCCACTCTGAAATATGTATAGTGTTTAATTTGTAATTTTATTCAGCTCATTATATTATGACATTTTGAACTAAAAGTGGTCTGAGGAAGAGGAAAGACTATATTCTGAATTATTTCACTTTATAACCATTAAGATATTTCAGACATGATGTAGTATTTTATGCGTTACATAAAACAATTTTGCTAGAAGACTAATGTAATCATATTTTATAAAGTCAAGTGGGCAGTGTTTCAAACTAGTTATACTTTTGTTTTTATTCTTCAAGTGTTAGAATCTTGTAGCTCCAAGGTAAATGATATGCTCTACATAAATTTCCATTGCTTATAGCATGTACTTCAAGTGATATTAGTGAAAACCTATATGCCACAAAACATTTTTCCTATGTTAGTGTGCGTGAGAAGAGAGTTCTCTTCTACCAAGTGAGTTAATAATACACAAAAGGCATTCAGTCTCATATAACTCGTTTCATCAAAATGAGGAAAAGAACTAACAGGGCAAAATAATAGCTATCCATCCAAATGAAGTAAATGCTAGAAGAGTTAGGGCTGCATGTGGCTGAATAGCAAATGCTTGCCATTTTGAACTTTCACACCCAGATCAGCATCATTTATTTGCTATGAGGAAGGGAATGCCTACTAGGCAAGGTGATTCTACTTGTTAATATGACACAGAAGCAGAAGGAAGTTTGGGGAACTGCTCTCTTCTTTAACGCTAACAGGTTAGTTTCTCTAGGCATGGCAAGCAGCAGAAGTTAGATTGGATCAGGTGCTCTGCGGATTCCATGAAGTCTAGAAGGTACATACGTTACCTCAGCAGCTCAACCTTCTGCTGCATCTCACTGCACGTGATCTGCAAGTCATGCATCACTGCCTTCAGCTCTTCCTCTTTCTCTCCTTGACAGGGTAAGTCTTTTTGCTTAACTAAAGTGGTGACTCGCTCCCTCAACTTTCTGGTCAGCTCCTGGAGCTTTTGTTTCTCCAGTTCTAACTCTGCTATTGTGACTGGATGCTGAAAAAGTGTGTCTTGGAGGTCTAGGACAGCCGTGTTTTCCTCCAGTATGACTTGATTCTGCACTCTGGGCCTTTCTTGATGTGTCTGAACTGTTCTGTGTAACCAGGCAATTTCATGTGCCTTTACTTTGGCCAAGAGCCGCATTCTTCCCTGCTCATGGCACTGGGCTGCTTCTTTACATTCTTCTACAATATGGTGCACACTCATAACCTTGGGCATGCATTCTTCTGGTGACTGATTGAGTTCAAGCACTTTTCTACCAGGTTGGCCCTCCAGGTTGTCCACCTGGGCTTCCCACAAGGAGAAGCCATCCCACTGAGGGGCAGCTCTTTCCTGCAGCTCGCCAATCTTCCCCTGAAGTCTTAACACTAGAACATTCAGCTCCTCATTTTCTGTCTTGACCTCATCATAACTCTTTTCCAAGTTAAGGAGCGTTTCTGTCACTTCCTCCACTTTCTTTAGCTCATCCTGCAACCTGAACACCTGTGCGCTGAGTTCTTTGTTGTCTTCCAGGGCCTTGTCATAGCATGTCTCCATCACTCTCAGCTCTTCCTGAAGGCAGTCATTTTCTCTACTAGCATCTTCATATAACAACCTGTACTTGGGAGAGGCCTCAGGGATTCTCTCAAGCACCTTTAGTTTCTTTTTTAGCACAGACACATCAAAAAGTAGGTCCTGTTTCTTTTCAGCAGCTCGGTTGCAGTCTGCACGCAAGATTCTTAGCTGCTCCTGGAGTTGACTGATGTGATTTTTCAGGTCCCAGGATTCAGCCCTGGTCTCGTCACTGTTCTCAAGCTCGGAAAAACACTCAATGGAAGCCTCTGACTCCTCAATTTTGACCTGTCTCTGAACAGAGCTTGTTCCTATACTTCTCAGGTCCTGGACCTCATTGCTCTGAAGGTCACTTAGGATGCTCCGGGTGGTCACACTTTCTATTTGTTTTATCTGGTTTTTTGACAAAAACGGCTCTGATGGTTCCACAGAATTTCCAAAAAACTCAGTAGCTGACTCCTGTAAACAAGATGACATCACTGATTCTGGGTCTAACGTTTGCAGCCTCTGTTGCAATCTAGAAATTTCGGCAGCCATTTTTACATTTTCCTTTACTGCCTGCTCATGAGCTCTCTGCAGACTGACGAGGACATCTCCATTTTCCTCCAACAGCTTCTCCCCTTGCTGAAGCAGGGACATGGCTCCATTTCCTTCTACCTCCTCCTCTCCTGTCACCTTGCAGTCACCCTGAAGCCTGGAAAGAGATGCTGCCTGCTGCATGTCCTGTATTTTATTCTGAAGCCTGGAGATTTCGGCACTCATCTCTGCCCTTTCTCGATCTGCCTTTTCACAGGTCACTCTGTGGGCACTCTCCATGGCCACAAGTTTAGCCAACATGTCCTGCCTCTCCTGGTCACACTCCAGCTGCAGCTGTTCAAGCTGCTGGCTGGCCAGCTGCTCCGAGGCTCCTGTCTGGCCCAGGACCTGCTTCTGCTCCCTCGGTTGTCTCTGGTGACTGCTTCTCAGCTCCAGCACCTGGTCGGACAGTAGGCTTTGGTGGCTCTCAGAGGCCTTCTGTAGGGCTTCCAGGTCTTGGAACAGCTGCTCTCTCTCAATGACCATGCTGTTCAAATGTTCCTTGTATGTCTTCTCCAGCATCTCCCTCTCCTGGGTCAGGACTAGAGAGGTTGCTTTCTCTCTCTGGAGGGTCTCCCGCAGCTGTTCTTGGGCCTCCACACACTCCTGCGTGAGCTCGTCCTTCTCAAACTCCCACTGGGCTCTCTCCTCCTCCTGCTGCTCCAGCAGGTCCTTCAGCTCTTGGCGGTAGCGCCCTTCCAGGCTTTGCAGAGTGTTTTCCCATCTCTCAGTGACTTTCTGACAGTCAGCCTGAAACTGGGCTTCTATCTGAGAGGTTCTTCTATTACACTCTGTTTCCATTTTTTCCCTAAATGTGGTCAACATACAGCATTACTGAAACTGCTGCCAGCTCCGGAAGCAAACAAAACATATTTTCCCATGCACGAAGGAGGCTGCCAAGCAAACAACTGAAACGCTTTCTGAAAATGGTCTTAACTTATTCCTACGTGACTCATGTGTTCTGGGAAGGGATCTCTCTTTTTTCTTTTTTGAAACTTTTTGGTGGTTCTGAGGATTGAACTCAGTCTCAAGCTTGGAGAATTGAACTCAGAGTCTCAAGCTTGCTAGGCAAGGGCTCTATCAGCTAAGACATACCCTCAGTCTTTTGACTTTTAGTTTGTTTGTCACTAACTTCATGTGGGCTGGCCTCAGACCTCGATCCTCCTATCTCTACCTCCTGAATAGCTGGGATTAGAGGTCTGTGCCACCACACCTGGGATCTTCTTTCTGAGATTTAAGGCTGGCAGCCATAATTAATTTGGAAGACTTACCTTTCTCTGAAGTTAGGGGGAAACTTGTGAAACCAAAGTCTTTAACCCCTCCTGGATGTATGTATGTGTTTTGAACCAAAGGCTGGAATTGGTATTTCGCATTAAATAATCAAATGCCTAGTGACCTAACTTCCGATATAACAAGTCTTCATTTTAATTAAGCAGGCATAGGAAACAGGTGGCATGTCACACATATTAAAAAGTTATTTTGCTGTGCATCTCATTTAGCAAAGGAGCACTATGGTAACCAGGACTTGACACACCACAACCCTCAAATGTTCCTGAGATTTCACCTGAGGAAGGTGAGCACAAAGTGCCGTTTCATCACTATAGGAGGAAATGTAACTCTGCCCAAAATCCAGCTTATAAATAGCTTTTCTCAGAACCAAATAGGATTGAACTAGGCAAGAACCGTGTTTAGGATCATCTTATCCTCATCTGGAGCCTTAGGAGTTATAGTATGTCTTAATACCAGGAACATGTTCCTCTTTCAAATAATAATAATAAAAAAAAATTCCAGTTACAGTAATCCTCCTGGTAGGCTCATGTATAAACAAGGGCTAAATCGGTTGAACAGCTTGAAAAGAATCTTCTCAACCCATGGCCACTCTGCCTCTGGTCTCCCAGGTCACCCTAACTGACCAGAACTCCTGGTGTCCTGAGCGCCAGTGCTCCAATTCCCCCTCGCTTCCTTACCTTCCCTCTTGAAGTTCCCTTTGGTGCTTTTCCAAGAGCTCTTTCCTCAACTCCTCTCTCTCAAGAGTGTGCTTCTCCACCAGGCATTGCAGCTGCTCCTGGTGACACTGCTCTAGGTCCCGAGTTAGGCCTCTCACCTTCTCTTCCGTCCAGGTGCTACTCTGAGCAAGTCCTTCCCTCTCCTGGCGAAAGCCTTCCTCCACCTGCTCCAGCCTGGCCTTGAGCTCCAGCTCATGATGCAGCCTCAGCTCCTCCCGCAGGCGAGTCTTTTCCTCATCAAAGGCCATCTGCAGCTGTTTTTTCTCCTCCTCGTGCCTGCAGCTGGTCTCCCGGTGTGCTTCCTTCAGCACCATGGCCTGGCTCTGAAGGTCTGAGATTTCACTTTTAAGGTCACTTATTTGTTTTTCCAAGGTGTGCATTTCATGTTCATACTTTTGCCTCAAGGTCTCCTGCTCCTTTGCACAGCTGATCCTGGTCTCATCCAGCTGCTTCTCATAATGGTGCACCTAGAATCAGACAGTGAAGCCACACAAGATTACTCAAAATGAGTCCACAGAAAGGGAGGTGATGGGGTAGCAAATACTCTTGTCCTATGACACAGTCCTCAATTTTCTCATTTTGTTTGAAAGCAACTCAACTGAAAAACATCTTGGCTGGGAGTGATGGTACACACCTGTGATCCTAGTCTGAAGCTGGCTCCGGGCAACAGTGAGACCCTATCTGAAAAATAACTAAAGCAAAAAGGGCTGGAGGTGTGGCTCAAGTGGTAGAGCACCTACCTAGCAAGCATAAGGCCCTGAGTTTAAACCCCAGTACCACCAAAAAAAAAATCAAAACCAAAACCCTTAAGTAAGATATTTAAGTTAGGCATGGTTTGCTTTTATTTGCTAAATTGATTGCATTTTACTAGTTTAAAAACAGCTATTATGCACTAAGCAGACCCTTACACACAGACATCTTTTGCCTTCCCACACATTCTTTTTACTGCAAACTTAGGGTCTGAAAATATTTAATTAAATCCAAATATTTATTCAACTCCATAGATACTCTGTGAGACACTTGGTAGGCCTCAAGGGAACACAAAGTTGGGTAAGACACAGTTCTTGCAATCAAGGAGAAAACAGTCTAGATATGGGCACAACAATAATGTGTACACTGCAAGCAGAACATAAAAAGAAAATAAAGATATGGCAAAGAGAGCTAGAAGGTAACCAAGAGAGTCCAAGGAGAGAAAAACCACATTTGGTTAGAAATTCAGGAATGGCTTCATGCAAGAGGCAGCATTTGATATAAACTGAAGGATCATCAGAGTTTTGAGAAGTAGGAAGAGATATTTTGTCATAGCATGAGCAAAAGAGGACAGACAAGTCAATGGGGAACAGTGAAAGAGATAACTGGGAAAGTAAATGGAAGGGCTGGGAGGCCAAGGATCAGAACATGTACCTAACCTAGTAGTAACACTACATCAAAGAACTCTTTTGATCCAGAACAGGTGACTCACACCTGTAATCCCAGATACTTGGGAGGCAGAGGTAGGAGGATTGCAGCTTGGGGTCATCTGGCAAAGTTAGTGCAAGGCCCTATATGAAAACAAACTAAAAATGAAAGGACTAGGAGTATGGTTCAAGTGGTAGAGGGCTTGCCAAGCAAGGGCAAGACCCTGAGTTCAATGCCCAGTGACACACACAGGCACTTTTTTGTTGTTGTTGAATTTAGACTTTTTTATTAATAAGCTCTGTGAGAAAAAAGAACCAGAAATGACCCATATGCAAGTGATTGTCAGAGCTGAAAGAAGTTAGAGAACTGGACTGGAAAGGACTTACTTTATCTTCAAGCTCCAGTTTTAGGCGACACAGGTCCCTGTGGTGTTGTTCCTTCATCTGTTCGATGACCAGCTCTGCCTCAATGCTCATATTTAATGGGTTGCATTCTTCAGAACCAAGCCCTGAAAACACACAGGACCCACTGATCGTGCCACAGGCTCTGTCAATAGCACAATCTGGCATGTGAGGATGGGTCTCCAGTTTCACTAAGGAATAATTTTTCAGCCTCAGCTGCCACAGATGTGAGCTACTAGGAAAGAACACAAACCAAGAGAGGTCTCTTTTTCAAGGATTAGGGCAAACAAGAAGGAACTAAAGTGGATGGATTTATTCATGTCTAGGCACTGTGCCAAACCCTAGTAGAATTCACCTTTTTAAACAATGAATGGGTGTCAGTGTGTAAACTGGTGCTAAAAGGTTAGCACCTCTTAATGAAAATGAAACATGGTGAGGAAAGAGCATGAGGTAGTTTGATCAAACTAATCAGCCTGTACTCATCCACCTGACAACTATTCTGAGCAACAAATCTGAGTGACAAATTAGCAGAGGGGCAATGTGGTAGGGGAATGTGTGAATGGCCAGCAAACAGGCTGTTATGGCTGGAAGAGTTAAGTTCATGAGTCAAGATGACTAACTAACTTAGCACTCAACATTAGAAAAGACTGATTATTGTCATGTGAGTTTCCTACAGTGTTGATGTCTGACCACTTTAAATTATCCACTAAAAAAATCCACTAAAGCACAGATTAGGAACTGGAATATTGCAGGTTTGGAGGAGAATTCTCAACTCATCCTTTGCCCACGATGAGGACTGAGAAGGGCATTGAAAGTGTGAAGCAGAAGTGGAGAGGTGAGCCAGTATAAACCAAAAATGTCATGTCTGCTATTGTGTAAAAATCTCTTTAGGTAGGAGAACCCAAATAGTTTTTTCTTATGTGGAGACCATGCAGCTAGACCTATGACCACTTCTTGGGCATAGGTCTAGCAGCTGGGATTGGGGGTCCTTCCCTGGGTTTTCCTCTTCATGTGTTATGGCACCTTTCCAACTGAGAGGAAGTTCGTGGCTGTAAGCTGCCCCAAGATGGTGTGGTTCATGTACTCACTGAGGAACACATCCAACACCTGGGTGGAAAAGCTGCTGAGAGGTATTCTACAGTCAGATGGCTTCCACCCTTGATACAGTAAGTGAGCCAAGAATGAAATAAAAGGTCTTATGGCCTCTTCTGCTCCTCTTCCAGTCCCTGATTGATTCTACTGCAGGTAGGTGAGGGGAGGAAAAAAACACCTTCATAGAACCATTCTGTTGCCTAAGTAGCAACTGACATGTGCCCTTTCTGAAATTCAAACCCAAAACACTTGAGGAAAAAGACAGGACATCAGGAGGGAGGAAAAGACAGAGTAAAAGTATGACATTCCCAAACAACTCTGCCCTCCAACCTTGCCACTCAAAATCTCCCTGAAAGCCACAGGCCAGCAACTCTTATTTATCTTATTTGCTCTTTTGCAGGGCAGTACATTTAGCCCAGCCAGCAGAAGAAAATCAGTTATGGGCTGTGTGGTTTGTGGCAGGCTCACTCTCCCAAACCACCTTCATACCAGTCAGGCACTCGTAGAAAGGGAGGAGTCAGCCCCAGAGCAGTGTCTGGGTTCTAACACTCCAAAGCTGGATTCTCAGATTTATAGCCAGTTTGTTTGCTTGTTTGTTTTAAGCAAAGCAAATACCCTCATGGCTTGATTTTTTTCACTTCTCTGTTGATGCATATCAAGATCACATGGAAACTGTCTCATACAGACTTCAAGAACAAATGAAAACCAGATGACGAGTGAAACAGCTCAAGAAAGGAGTATTGCCAAAGTCTTCTCCCCTCAGGTTGCCAGAGTTCTGGAATTTTACACTCAGCCTTGGTTCTCTAAAAACAAAGGTCAAACATGAGACTCTGAAAAGATGGTGTCTGAATGCGTTTACCCTGGTCAGGCTCAATGGCACCGCCGTTAACATCAAACTCTTCGGACAGTGAGTTCTTTAAGGGATGCCTAAATACTTTGCCTTGTGCTCGATATTCTTCCAGCTCAGACTGGAGTTCATCCACTTGGTCTTGTAATACCTGGGGGTTAAAACACCAACACAGGTCTTCCATGTGACAGCAAAAGCACAAGCAACAAAATAATAAACAGGACATCATCAAAATAAACTGTTTTTGTGCTTCAAAAGCTACCATCATAAAAGTAAAAAGACAGAATGGAGAGAAGTTTTATTTATTGTATATCTGATTAAGGACCTGTAACTAGAATATATAGACTATTACAGCTCAGTAATACAGACAAATAACTCAATTTAAAAATGAACAAATGATATAGACATTTTTCCAAAGAAGATATACACTCAATGTCATTAGCTATCAGAGAAATGCAAATAAAAACACAGTGAGGCCACTGTGATAGCTGGAATCAAAAAGAGACACAGTAATAACTGTTAACAAGGATGTGGAGGAACTGGAACTCTCACACTGAAACATGGTGCCAACCATTTTGGAGGAGGTCTGCCAGTTCCTCAAAAGGTTGAACACAGATTTCCCATATAACCCAGCAGGTCCACTCCTAGATATATACCCAAGAGAAATGAAAACTATATCCATACAAAAACATGCACACAATTTATATAGCAGCATTGTTCATAATAACCCCTAAAACCCAAGCCTCTATTAATTAAATGATTGAGATATGATGTCCATACAAAGGAATATTATTCAGCCATTAAAAGGAATGAAATACTAATACATGGTACTACAACATGGGTGAACCTTGAAAACATCATGCTAAGTGAAGGAAGCCAATCACAACGGACCACATGTGATATGATTCCATTTACAGGAAATGTAATGATTAGGCAAACTGATAGAGACAGAAAGTAGACTAGTAGTTGTGTAGGACTGGGAGTCATGGGAGACTGTGGCTAAGGGGAGCAGGGGTTTCTTTTTGGGGTGATGGCTACACAATTGTGTGAATATAGTAGAAGACACTGAGTTGTACACTTTAAATGGGTGAAAATATATGGCACAGAAAGCTCTTATAAAAAGAAGTGGATGGAATGGGGGGGATTTTTAAAGGAAGCAATGACAGAATTTACTGATTATGCTGAATTCTCTTCATTACGCTTAGAGACATTGAAAGCAAACAACATATGATTAAAACTAAGAGCTAAAACTTAATTATCAAAGCAGGAGAGGTATGTGTGGTGGTGCACACCCATAATCTCAGCACTCTGAAGGCTGTGGCAGGAGAATCATGAATTTGAGGCCGGCCTGGGCTACACAGTGAGACCCTGTCTCATTTCTTCTCTCAAATGTGCTCATGCATCTCCTGAGAAGGCAGGCCTGAAGCAATCTGACAAGATGTGATCATTTTCTTCATCTCTATACAAGTAAATTTTTTCTTTTCTAAAACACAATTCAGTTATCACCTTCTTATAAACAAGTATTTTTAGTTTAAGAAAAAAATTCTAAGTTCCTAAGCTTAGGGGAGTTCATTTTAAAAAACACATTCCTGTTTTTCCCAAGAACAGTTCTATCTTTCCCAGTAGGCACCGGGAATGGTTGCTAGCTAAAGACTTGAGTGGTTTCTGTTTCATTTGCATTTTGTAAACAAAGCAATGTGCTCAGTAAAAGGGAAAAACAAAAACCACCACAGGACAAAACTAAATTACTTTGTATTAAGTCTGCAGTGATCAATCAGGAAAGGCTAATTTGGGAATAAGCTTATCAACAAGACCACATCCTTCTCCACTTAGTATAAAACTACATTTTCCTACAAGCACTAGCAGCTTCTGACCTCCCCCAAGCAGATCTGAATGTAGTTTGTGTGATACTCTGTGGTTCAGGAAGTTGAATTAATTCAACTTAGTATTAATAGCTAGCATTCACACGTGTTCTTACTCCATCCCTGGCTCTGTTCCAAGCCCCTTACACACTTCACTCAACTGAACCTTCATACCTGCCCTCTTGGTGGCTACTCTTATTTTTGTCATCTGTAGGAGAGGAGTTGTGGTACCCACAGTGTAAGTGACTTCATCATGATCACACGGCAAGGAAGTGGTAAAGCTGGGATTTGAACCCAGGTCCTCCTGTATCACTTCTTTCTCTTCAGCCACTCACCCTGCACTGCTGCTCATACTCATTTCTCATTTGCATCAACCTTTCTTCTTGCAGAAAGAATTCAGCACTGCTGGGATCGAGGTCACCAAACTAGAAAGGGAAAAGGGCCAAGCTGTCATTTTTTCCAAGTGCCCTTCTTTGACCCATCACATACCAAAGTCTCCAGTTTCTGGTGTCACCAGGCTCTTGAGTATGAAAGGAATGTGGCATTTAAAGCAGAAACACCATCAACCGGAAGATGGTGGTGGTGGTGAGGGAGGGGACGTTCAAGAATGATGTGCTCTACTCACTTAGTGCCAGGCAATGTTTTCCCTCATAACCACCCTACTAAATTATACTCCTGCAAAGCTACAACTTCCTTTAGGCACCCAAATAATTCCCTAATGAAAATGTCCTTGGCACCACTTCTGCTCTTTTAATGACACTTTGGGCAATTCATCAGGAAATTAGATTTTATACAGATTTACCTTTTCAGCTAAGACGTTTTCCAAATTTCGCTGAAGTTTGTTTGTCAGACTCTCATACTCTGCCAGCTTCTCTGCATTTTCCAGAAGCTCATTTTCTAGACGACTGTTTTCCTGAAGAAATTTGGGGAAATTAAAAAATGCAGCACAGATTAAGAGATAAGCAAACTGTTGTACCACTTCATATGAGGCATAAATCAGAGCTCTAGATGAAGAAAGCTCCAGGCCTTGAAAGCTACCATATACTAGAAACAGAAGTAAACAGTAAAATGTTGGTTTCCATCTCATTACCCAAAAGTCTGCCTTAAAAAAAAAATCCTGTAGAACCGCATGGTTCAATCAATGTATTAAGCCACGAGCAGGTACGTGTGGTTAGTGAGTGTTTGGAATGTCTAGTGCAAATGGAGATGTGAGCAAGACCTCCATTTCTACAAAAAAGGAGAGTGTGGTGGCAGTGTTCCGTGGGAGGTGTCAGTAGGAGGACCACGGTCCAGGCTGGCTGGGGCAAAAAACTGAGACCCTACCTGGAAAGTAACTAAAGAAGAAAAGCCTGGTGAAGTGGCGCAAGTGGTATACCGCCTACCTAGCAAGCATGAATTCAAATCCCAGTACTGAAAAAAAAAAAAAGAAAAAAAATCGATTTTCATTTACTAATACTATAGTTCAGTATACATTTAATTAATAAATATATTTTGGTTTAATGATGTAAAAGCTACACATGTAAACTGTATACACTTTATGTACATTTGAGTTATTATAATCAAATAACACATCAACTGAAACTCACAAAAGGTTTTTTTTTTTCACTTAAAATGATCTGTATAGACAGTACGTTTTAGGAAGGTTTCCATCCACAGTTGTTTAAAAAAAAAACCATACAGCCATGCCATTTGACATATTTTCTTCTCAATGTTAAAGGCTGATTGGAAGAATGTTATTTTCAGAGTACATTTTACCAAAATGATGCAGAGCCAATATATTTCTAATATATTCTAGTTCACACCCTTACACACAGCAATATGGTATAAAAGAGAATGTACTTGAAACATTTAAAAAAAAAAAAAAACTACCTTCCCCTAAAATGCCAATTTGTATTACTTTAGTCTTTCAAAGTCTATCTAAACTTAGATGCTAAAATAATACGGCACAATCTCTGTGTATCAGGAAACTGTGTACCTGGAAACTGACCCACCAGATACTGTTACTGGCTGCAGGGAACAGTGTGGACTGCTGGGTGGGAGGCAGAGTGTATATCTATGAGCAATAGTAAATGCACTGTCTCCAGGCAACCAAAAAGTAAATGCAACGGGAATGAAAAAGTAATTTAGCCCTAGCGCTGGGGACAGCAGTGAAGGAGCATAAAGATGTTCTGTCCCTGGGGAACTGATTGCTGATGGAAGGTGCAGTGGGGAGGGGCACAGAGTCAGGCGCTGGGGCAGGAGCTAAGGTTAGAAGGTATGAGGATGGGCATGCTTGGTGGCCTTGAACCACTAACACTTTTTTAAAAATTTTAACAAAGGGTACCAGTATGATCATAACTGATCTTTAGTAAAGTAACTGTGATAGCCGTGTGGAGAAATCATGATGACAACTGAGCCTGATTAGAGGCAGGGAAAATGCAAGAGAAGGGGATAAATCGGAGTGTTTTTTTTTTTTTTTTTTTTTTTTGGTGGTCCTGGGGTTGAACTCAAGCCTTGTGCTTGCTAGGCAGGTGCTGTACTGCTTGAACCATATCCCAGCCCTAAGGGGCATTTCAGAGCTTCAACACTATGAGACTGATGAGTGCTGAGGAGTGGGGATGACTGAGAATTTTAACTTCTGGGACTTATAGCACATGGTGGACATGCTGATTAGGGAGAAAAATTCAGGATATGAAACAGTTGTATGGTTAGGGAGTGGTGACTGGCTCAGCTTTTGATGTGTGGAGTGTCAGGTGTGCTTCATAATAGCAAGAGTAGCAAACATTTTGCATGTACGCGTTAACTTTCTAGACACCATATATACATATAAATATATGATCTGATATGATACCCACACCAAGGCTATAGTTAAGTACCAGTGCTCATCTGTATATTATGAAACAGGATGGAGTAGTTAGTCAAGGTTTTCTAGTAGGCAGTGGTGCCCAGGTAGGCTGCCTCTAGAGCCCAGCACATACTATCTGGTGTGAGAATCCAGTAAAGAGAAGGATGACTTCCTTCACTGAGGCAGAGAAAGTAGGGAGGATATATGGGAGAAAAGGCACGATTAGAGGCACAGAGAAATATCCAGGCCTCTGTGTTGCAGGAGGTGAGCCCATCTACTGAGAACAGGGGTCCAGAAAGGGGAGAAGAAAGGAGACCCAAGAGAGGACAGGTCTGGAGGAACATCTGTGAGAATAATGGGTCAGCCAGGTGCCACACTACCCTGAGGACCCAGCAGAACTGCAGGGGAGAAGAACAGGCTACACCAGTCAATGTAATCAGCACACGACAGCCTGAATACCCGTGAAGTTCAAATCCTAGCAGGGTCCCTGCCATGTCTGTGTCATGACCTGCAGGAGGGCCAAGCTCTGGGAACCTTGAAGTGAGCTCTGTGCAGACTTGCTCTCTCCCAGAGCCAGAGCTTTCCATGTGCCTACCCATCAGGGACCCATAACTCAGAAGTACTGTGAGCATTACCTTTAAGGAGAGGGCCAGGCGGTCGCGGATATAGTTCTCTTCAGTTTTTGCCTTTTCCATTTCTTGCTCGAGTTCTGAACGCTGCTTGCCCACCTGTTGCAGTGTCTGCTCTCTCTCTCTTCGGAGTTCATTCTTCAAGGCTGCTATCCGCTCCTTGTACTCTTCATCCAATTTCCTGTGAGGAGCAAAAATCATTAAGTGGCCATCAGATCCCTCAGAGGGCCCTCTGTGGATCTGCCAAAAGTGGAAAGAAGAGTTACAGAGGTGAAAAATGCTCTGAGAAAATGCCTCAGGTGTCCAGCCATCCTTTAGGCTTGGCCACATCTAGATCTCTGCAGCCAGGCAGGTAGGCAAAGGCCCTGTGCTCTCTTCTGGCCCTGTGGCTGCAGGTGCCGCTGCCCTGGCTCAGTGGGCTGGGAAAGCCACCTGACCTCACCCTCCCAGTCGCACCTGAGGTTGTACTCATTTCGCCGCTCTATGGCCGCGTGGTGATCATCCACCTCGGAAGCCATTAGAGACTTGAGTTTCTCAGCCTTGTCCAGGTCCGATCGTAGCTTCTCTTTTTCTCTGACCACTTGATCAACCCGTTCCCTAGAATCAGAAATAAACTGAGTTAATGAGAAACTGTTTCTAAGCAACAAGTAGACTCAAAAAAAGCTCTCGTCTGGCTTCTTTCAATTCAAAAACAAAACCAAGACAACTGAAGCCTTCCCAAAACAAAAGAGCCATTCCATGGTTCCCTTCAAAAGCCTACATGCCACGTTCCATCTCATTTCCCTACAGTTTAAGGAAGCTATGCGCAGGAATTAGATGCAGAGGAGAAATCATGTCTGCACATGGAATGGAGGACGGTTCATTGAAGGCACCAGGATGATTGTTGGAAAAGAAGGGAAGGAAATGGAGTGGCCAAACCTTCTGTTCAACTCACAACAAATGACGGATCTCAGCCTTAAAGCTGGCCAGAGCCGCCTGGTGAATGCTGTTCTTGGTGACCAAAAGTTCATTTTCAAGAGCCAGCGTCAATTCTGTCAAGTTAACATTTCCGTCAAGGCTGAAATCCAAGGCCTAGAAATCAGAACATGGCATAAGTTCAAGACAAATCACAAGCTCTATCTTCTGAAAGTGGAAAATGCGAAGGTTGTATAAACTCAGAGAGGTGAGTATAGCCTAGAGACTGGATGATCACATTTCTTAAGTGACTGCTTAGGAACACTCGTTTTTAGGATTTTTTTTTTTTTTTTTGGAGGTACTGGAGTCTGAACTCAGGGCTTTGCACTTGCTAGGCAGGCGCCCTACCACTTGAGCCAGTCCAACACTCTTCAATCTAGAACACAGCTAAATTCCTCCCCAACTCCCTCCCAAGGAAAGAATAACATGGTTATTTGTGTTTTTAAAAAAAATGCTATCTGGCGTTATAAACACAATAATGTACTTCTAGTGTTTATCAACCACAGATCAGTTTAAGAGTGTATCTCCTGTTAATAATTTGGAGGTTAAAAACATGGAAAGCAGTTAGCAATGGGCTCCTGGTTAAAGTGGGTAGGAAAAGTGACTCTTAGCAATAAGATCTTGTGAACAGAATAATCATTAAAGAGAAATCAAATCAGACTTTAAAAAAAATTAAAAATTTCACCCCTTCCCTGAATGGCCGTTTTCTCATACCTTCAGTATCTCTTGGCTGTTCTCGATGCCCTCTTCCTGCCAGGTGTCCAGTATTTTCTCCACAGACGCCTGGCCCATCCCATCATCCAGACAGGAGAAGACCCGAAAGCCAGTGGTACTTGTCATCGCTGATGGGGTGGTGGTGCGACGTCCACTCTCATCGAAAGACTGAAGGAAGAAAGAGACTTGAGCAAGCTTAGCTGGACTGTAGGCATTTCAACTAGATATGACTAGATACTGGTCAGGTCTGAAACTGGTCAGTCCTGACCCCAGAGAGCAGAATTTAATTTACCTTGTTAGGAGGGGGGGAAAAAGTCATGCAGTGCCTTTGATTCTGTTTCCCAGAGAGTCAGAGCCTACAAAGCTTATCAAAAACAATCGTTCTGGGAGACAGTTCTTTGCCATAGAGAAGATTTATCTCTACTTAACACCAGGTTTCTTCTGAGCCTGAGCTGACATCAAGAGACATAATTAGTGGCCTTCCTACTCTGTAATTTATGATCATTTAAATCCAACCTTTCTTTCCTAATGTTTCTTATTTGCCTTTTACTTTGCACTCTCTCCTTGCTTCAGACAATAGACTAGCTCATTAGCAATCATTGAATGCATTCTAACTTTTACTCATAATGAAAATTCCCTGTTGACTTCTTACCTGCATAGAGAGATGTCTTTTTAGTTGTCTATAAGGAGTAGATGCTGATGGTGTGAGGGATTTTCCATTTTTAAACAAACCATAGAAAAAATGTTCGACACTCATTGTACCATCAGGATCAAGGTTATGAAATACTTCCTCAAGCATCTAGAAAAGAATAACCACATATTTTAAATACTTCACTTAAAATAACACAGATCTGGGCTGGAGATGAGGCTCAAGTGGTATAGCACCTGCCTAGAAAGTGCAAGGCCCCAAGTTTGAACCTCAGTGCTGCCAAATAAGTGAAAAATGAGTGAATAAATAATAAATGATACATGCCCAAAGTATGCTTCTGGCTAATAGAAATCTGCAGACTTCAGAAATATAATTATGAACCTTTATTCTTATTTCACTAAATTTATTTCCCTTTCAGTAATGGTATGTTTTCTCCTCCCACACACATTAAATAAAAGTCCATTTGCAACATCTCCATAATCTTATGCAATTTAGCAATTCACTGTTTTTCTTTTATTCACACTCTTCTTCAATGTTGCTACATGTTATTCTGACAAATTTAAAATACCTTTAAAAATAAAGATATATCTTCTTACTGTCTTAACAACAGAAATTAGTTGGTTCATTATGCCTTTAGACTGTGGTGACTCTAAGTGATGTTTGACTCATACTAAAGCTTTGAAATTGGCATGCTTGCATTGCACAGCAGAATGTGGTCCAGGACAGAGTGCAATGACCTAAGAGTTTAAGTCTGAAATTCATACTTGGAGTTTAGAACCTTACCTGGAATAACACTGTATCTGTTGGATTTTTGTTTTATGTGTTAGCCCAAGACTGGATGAGAAGGATTTTGTGTGTGTGTATAAAACAGAAGAGTCCCAAGAGTTGTAAAGACAAGGGAGTGCTGATAGGTTATTTGTACCCTCCAGACAGTAATCAAGTAGTTCTCATCATATAACAGAGGAAGGGGAGACTGGACCACAGCCCCATCTAGAGGCTTCCTAGGAGATGGTTTGTTCCTTAGCACCACAGAGGAAAGAAAAGCAGGAAAGAGCAGCATGAATCCTGGAAGCCACATGTTAGGGAGGAATGGCAGAGATTCCCCTACTGACAGTCAGATTCCCTTTATTTTGTGGGACAAAATTTTTCTATAGGAGTATGTCTCCTGTGAACAAAATATATAGAAGTTTGAAGTTCTGCAGTTCTAACAAGTTCCAAGAGGATGCCCTGGCCACTGAGGAAAAAAATAGAAGAAGCAACAAATTTACTCTTGCTGCATCAAAACCTGTAATTGGATCCATTCTCACATACACCAAAATTCTCTATAATACACACTCAAAATTTTAATATTCAGTGCTTAAACATGGACTAATGCTGTGATTCACACTGTCTCATAATTGTCCTTATGGAAGTACTTGAGACATTTTGTTTATCTCAAATGCTTTTTTTTCCAACCCCCAGTTTACCCCAAATTGGAACAGATTCTGAAATCCTTCAATGAAAGCTGCCAAGAGGGTGGAACTCTTTGGAAGAGCAACAGATGCTAATGGAGAATCTTATGATCAAGTCCATAGAATGAGACAAAATGCTCAGGCTGGCAAAATCTCTTAGCTTTTTTGTCTTGTTGTCAACCAAAAGCACAACTCCTAGAGGAGGCCACTTTTGGGACCATCACATCAGAAGCCACCCTAAAATCCAGGTGCACTGATTGAAGTTAACAAGGTTCATATTAGATCTAACTTTAGACTCACGCTGCTTGACCCTGTGACCTTGGCCAATTCAGCACAGCTACCAGGTGGCCTAGACTCCCATCACTTGACCCATTCAAATTGGTGGAGCAGGTGAGTTTTGCCAGTTATTCCAAACTGGGGGATGGGGGGGTGGCAAATGGTGAATAAAAAAATGTGAACTCAGACAAGGGCAGATGAACAGTGTTGAGCAAAGAATGCAGATTCCATGGACAACTGGGGTATTTACCTGTACTCAGTGCAGGACTGCAAGGACATTTCTACTCCCCATGATACAAGGTCACGTCTTTGGGCCCATGATTTCCCAAGGTATAGGTTAGGAAATGCCGCATTAGAATAAGTATCACAAACCCAAACACCCACAGAAGCCAGGAAAATGGTGAAAATGGACAAGGCAGGGTGGTTTTAACCTTAGGAAATGGTTAAGGACCAGCAAACTTCACACATGGCTTAGTGAGTCAGTATGTCTCACTGTCCACAAAACTGAGCCAGACCTTGGGATTTTTAGAAAAATTCCCACTTAAAAATACAAATTTTAAAACACTGAGCAGACCAAAAAAACAAAAAACCAAAACTCTCTTTGGATTACATGTGGTAATTAGGGGGCTAGTTTGCCATCCTTGCCCTGTAGCTGTCCTCACTTCTGGAAAGCAGGGTGGTAGTCATATGAGAGTGAATCTAATTTCCCTCCTGAAAACAGTGGGTAGCAGTGATCTCACTGTCTTTATCTACAAAATCAGGGGTGACTGAAGCTCAAATTGCTTCCAGTTGTAAAATTCTAGGATCCCAAGTTGTATGGGAGAGACATCACCTTGAACTCCCAACTCCTCTGTAGATTAGAACTAATAAGGAGAAATACTTCATGATTTGTTTCAAGGATGAAAAAACACTAAGGAAAAGCATGTTCAATGAGCAACTCGTTATTCATCCCCAGACCAGAGGAAAAGAACTAAATGTGCCACTTCTGTCCCAGGTTTTAGGAACACCACCACAGAAGAAAAGGCAGCTCTCCATGGATAGCTAAAGTTTACTCCAAGAATTGTTTCTAGATAAAGAATCCAAACTTGTGCAATATTTCTTGGCAAAACAAGCCGAGGTTCTGTGTACTACACTGGTTTATAAATCAGAGAATGAATGTAGTTTTATGACTCCAACAGCCACCACTGAAAAATAAATTACCACCGAGCCAGCCATTAAAAAAGGTAGTCAAAAGGCACGTAATGGTCATATATACAAGAGAGAAGGGAAAAATTTTAAGAACTTTTCTGCAAGCCAGGCTACTTAGAAGCTACTGAAGATAAACCTCTTTCTTGGTTAGGAAAACCATGCCACTTATCCCCTGAGCAAGCAGACAGCATGGTTTCAAATGTCATTATAGTCAAATATTCTAGAGTTCCAACTCTCTAATCCTTAGTTTTAACTTTTTGAAAGACATATCTTGGAATTACTTATTTTCTTATGTTTCATGGCTATTCATGCACTAACTCTCTAACTTCTCAGAAAACATAAAGCTCAGAGTATTACCAAGTAAAACTCTTTGTGGGCTCTTTCAAGACTTGTCTTTGTGTTTTCAAGACAACCAACCTATCCTTTTCCATTTCTTCATGACCAGAATTGGGTAACGGCTCCTGGCTGCTCTGTGTAACCCAGGCTCTCTTCACACCAGCATGTAAACAGTTTCATCCTTAGCAAGAAACCTGCCCTATTTGTTGTTCGATTTCCCTAACAACTCAGGGATGGCAATGAGATCTTTTCAAAAATCTAAACTTAGCTTCATGGACTTCAAAATCTCTTCTCAACTCAAATATGTGGTTCTTTCTTCCTCCACGTGTTCCTATATCTTGCTCCATGATTGACACCTCCACAAACATGGTGGCTGTACTAAGCTCATACCAGATAGCCTTACATGAGGTAGCAAGTTAGCACAGTGAGGGACACAGAGTATGCACTCAGTAAGTAGCAGCTACTATCAGGTTCTCTCCCCACCCCCAACTATACAACATGATTTCCTCAAAGACAAAATCTTCCAAATGAGTTCGCAGGAAGAAAGCAAATGGTCTATCAGGCTGCAGGAAGCCATACAGAGCTGCTCCCAGCCTGTGGCCAGTTCAGTTTTTCTCATTATTATTATTCCCGAATCAGAGCATACCGCAAGGCTCACCTCACCATCGACATTCTGCAATCCATACTGCTCACAGATGGAGACCAGCTTCTTCCGGTTTAGGTGACCATCACGGGTGATCCCCAGGTCTTCACAAACCTCTTGCAGTTTCTCTTCGATCCAGTCTTGGGGAGGGGAAGACCCAGTCTGTGAGGCATTCAAGTCATCTGGGTTCCAAAACCTTAACTGGCCTGAAATGAAAGCATATATCCATCCTGTTGTCTGCCAAGAAATTGCAAAGACAGTGACTGTTCTCAAAAGAAACGGTACTCGTTGAAGATAAATACTATATGAAAAAGACTATGTCGATCCCATTTTTATTTGGTCCTGAAGTTCCAGTGTAATTGAACTGCTGGTTCTCAGGTGGTAACTGTTGTCTAGAGGCAATAGGCACTTTTTTGCTCCATGGCAAGGAGCATCATCTCCTGTGTAATACTGCACAGGGTCCAAGACCTGTTTTGTTCCAGCTGAGAACCCCAAGGGCTTGGGCTATGGTGTGATCATTAAAGAAGGCTGGCTAAGAGGCATCCCCTGCCTCATCTATAACTTTCAGACTGTGGTATTTCCATTTTGTTTCTAGTCTAAGGACTAGAACATCTTTAACTGAGAAGGAAACGATTTCATAATGGATGTCTCAAAATTTGCCTGCTCTCCAAATCTTTATGTATGAACATTCTGACCTGCAGAAATCAAACAATCCAAACTTGAAAGAAGAAAGGGTTGTGAGTTCCTGGTTATCTGTAAAGGGAGGATAGGTTCTCTATATGAAGAATCCTTGTATATTTGAAGACAAGGATCAAACTACTTATATAAACATCAGGCCCATTTATCCTCTATTAAAAGCCACCATTTCTAAACTGTCTACTTACGTAGTGGAGAGTCTGTAAAGTTATCACTTAAACATGAGCTAAGTACTGGCACAATTTTGTGTGCCTGGATGAACCTCGGAGAGTTGAGAGGAGTACTTAGTGTCATCCCTGCTATTTATCGACAGAAATTAAGCCCATTACTGCTGTCTCTTTTCAGGCTGGAGACCTAGAGAACACGCTGTAATTACACTTAAACACAGTTAATCCCAGGAAGGCAGTAAAGCAGGCTGATGGCCTGTGGGCTGAACCCCAGCGCCACCTGGAGGTCAGAGGACAGACATGTTCTGCTGCTTAACTGCATTTGAACTTGTAAGGGATTCATTTTAATAGGCTATTTAGATGAGGGGTACTGGCAAATTTAAAAGTCTGTATAGCGAGTAATTAGCCTGTAAGTGAAATGCTACATCACAGTTGCCATCTCTTGTATGATGTTAAGACCTAGATTTTAAAACTATGAGGTATCAATTGGGAATGAATTTTCTACTAATGTTACTAAGATTAATTCCCAGCCTCTAGCATAAGGTGTGGGAAGGCAGGGGTTGTAAGTGTCCTAGGAATAGCAGCCCAGCCCTTCCCTCCTTGGCAGGTCCTGACCCGACATACACTCAGCTCTTACCTTCTGCTTCATACTCCTCACTGTGTTGTATCTTCCAATGCTAAAGAAAGCAAGAAACAATTAGTGCACTTTTGAACTTATTTAGAGAGAAGTTCTACTTTTTCTTGGCTCTGAAATTATCCACTGGGCAAGACACACAATTTTAGGATCTGCCAATACTTTCATCCAGGTGAGTTCTTTTCAGTTAACCAGCCAATCAAAAGGTGACACCTAAGAAAAAGAACACTGTCATCTGCAGGACTTCACCAAAGAACAATCTTCTGCAGGATCTCACCTTCTCATCTGCAAGGTCTTTATTCAACAGACAACCAGTCACAGTCCATTAAATCAAGTTAAAGTCAATATTCTAAGTCCATCAACCAATAAGGGTTTGTATGCATACATCTATTAATTTGTTCTTCAATAAAGACATAATAAGTGCTTGCTTTTGTGTTAGGTCTTTGTAATAAACCCATGAACAGATCACAAATGCCTTAGGAAGTACATAAATGAAGACATGCTGACAAGAAAACAAGAAAGAATATACAAGGTGGGCATGGTAGTCCAGCCTTGTAATCCTAGTACTTGGGAGGCTAAGGCAGGAGGACTGTGAGCTTGAGGCCAACCTGGGCTGCAGAGTGAGATCCTGTCTTTAAAAACCAAGGGCTGAGGACATAGCTCAGTGGTAGAGCATTTGTCAAGCACGCACAAGGCCTTGGATGCTGGGGCACCATGAACCCAAACCAAATCCAGGAAGTACAACACAGTAGTGTTTTAGGTGCTGTGACAGGAAAAGTCAGGGTGTCACGATGGTCCATAAGTGAGATACTTGAGACTTAGTAGATGAGGGGGGACTTCCTGAAAGAAGCAATGTCTAAGCTGAGACCTGAAGGGTGAACTGCAGGGAGTGGACAGAATGGAGCAGTTATTTGCTGAAGCAAGGATGAGCCTGGTGTGCTTATGGCACAGTAGGCAGAGACATGCGACCCAAAACAGGCTAAAAGCTGTATTAAATAAGATACATACTACTAGTAAATCACACTCAAAGTACTTAACTTTATCTGAATTGTACATTGAACCTCCTTAACATGCTGCTTCTAGTGAGTCTTCTCCAAGGTCACAGGATGCAGTCTGCATACAGGTAAAAACACCAAGCCAGGGCCAAAATCCAGCCCTTATGCTATTGGCAAAATATGGTGAAAATCTTCCAATCAGCTGTAACAGGGAGGCTTGCTGTGACCTCAGCCTCTCCAGCAAGCTGCCTAGTACTCTCACGCCTACTGGAAGGTTCTAGAAGCACCAATGGAGTCCTGTTGAGAAAAGGTGAGTCCCCATCCAAGCCTGGCTGCTGTCTTAGCAGAGATATACCTTCATGAACAAGGCTGCCTCTGATGACACATAGCCAGCCTGTACTCTGGGATGACTGAACTGAATTTCACATGGTGACCCACATGAAAAATTCTTGATTAAACCTTGTCTTTCAGTAGTTTGTTCAAGTTGATATGAGTTGAAGTCTTCTTTGGAGCAATCTAAGCACATCCTTTTTTTTTTTTTTTTGGCAGTTCTGGGGCTTGAACTCAGGGCCTTTACTTTGAGCCACTCCACTAGCCCTTTTTTATGATGGTTTTTTTTTTTTTTTTTCAAGATAGGGTCTTCCAAACTATTTGCCAGGCTGGCTTCGAACTGTGATCCTCCTGCTCTCTGCCTTCTGAGTAGCTAAGACTACAGTGTGAACCACCAGCAGTGCCCAGCCTAAGCATATCCACTTTATTCTCCACTCACAGTATTTCTCTCTTCTCAATGAGGGATCATTTCACAGCTCCTTATTTTACTTAGAAAGATGAAGAAACACTGACTCAGAGAGCTCACCTGAATTCAAAGCCCAAAGTGACAATGCTGAGTTGGAGTATTCTTGCCATATGGAAGAGGCCAAAAGGCCAAAACTCAAAATGACCAAGTTCACTATAACCTATTCTAATTAATCAAAATCACTAATATACAAGGCATAGATGGAACCAAGTCAGTAAGGCCTGGTGTCATTTGTGCTTGTGTTTTTTTTGTATTATAATTTCATCTGCTCCCTTAGTCCATACTTCAACACAAAGATAAATGTCCAACCTGGTGGATGGTGTGTGGGGTATGGTGGGGCAGGAAGAGAGAGGTAGGGTCAACAATCCTCTGTGAATTGCCTCAATTATAATTTCTGGTCAGAATTCAACTGCTTTTACATATAAGACTTTAAATCAATAAAGTCCCACTAATACAAGCATTCTGCCTGCCTGTCCCTTTCCCAACAAAGAAAATGATGTAAAGGTTCATTTACTTTGGCTCCCAAAATTGTGAAAATTCATTATTCAGCATTTAAACACCCTAGAATTAAATCTACATACAACAAATTAAACTAGGTTTATGAGCTAAGATCCATCAGTCAAAATAAAACTTACTGGACCACAAGCAGGAAATGACTTTTAACAGCAAAAACCGATGGGAGAAATGGCGGGAGAACATGTTATTTGTTGACCTGCGCCATAAAGAGAGCTCCAGATGGCCCAAAGGACCAAAAATCGTATGTCCTCCCTCATATGTGGACATTAGATCAAGGGCAAACACAACAATGGGATTGGACTTTGAGCACATGATAAAAGTGAGAGCACACAAGGAGGGGTGAGGATAGGTAAGACACCTAAAAAATTAGCTAGCAATTGTTGCAGAGAAACTAAAGCAGATACCTTAAAAGCAACCGAGGCCAATAGGAAAAGGGGACCAGGAACTAGAGAAAAGGTGAGATCAAAAAGAATTAACCTAGAAGGTAACACACACGCACAGGAAATCAATGTGAGTCAATGCCCTGTATAGCTATCCTTATCTCAACCAGCAAAAACCCTTGTTCCTTCCTATTATTGCTTATACTCTCTCTACAACAAAATTAGAAATAAGGGCAAAATAGTTTCTGCTGGGTATTGAGGGGGTGGGGGGGAGAGGGAGGGGGCGGAGTGGGTGGTAAGGGAGGGGGTGGGGGCAGGGGGGAGAAATGACCCAAGCCTTGTATGCACATATGAATAATAAAAGAAAAAAAAAAAAGAGAGAGCTCCAGATGGGATAACCAGGTGTAAAAACGAGACACCAATGAACACCTTTCCCAAGCTCCTTGCTTATGATCCGTGAGACAATAAGGTTTGTGTTGCTACATAAAAGTTGATTTCTTACATCTGCTCATTTACGTCTCAATTCATGTCAAAACAGTGAACAATGCATTCAGAGAGCCAAGATCCTTCAGTAGACTGTCTCCAATGTCTCACAAGTCCATTGGCCTGGGTGCAAATTTCTGATTCACTATCTATGACAGCATTTGCCTGCTGCTTTCCTTCCCCAATTCTTCCCCTAACTAGTAAAAGCGAGTTTCAACTTGGGAGTCAGACCACCTGGCACTGTATCCTGACTTCACTATCAGGCTGGCCTCAGGCAAAAGTTTCTTGACCTCTTTTGCCTCAGTTTATTCATCTGTAAAGTAGGAATAAAATAGCACACATTTCATAGTGGTAAGGGGTATATGTAATACATATTAAATTTATGTTTGCAGGATTTTTTTCATTACTGTTTAAACTTAAAGCATTTATTTGGGTAGACCTGGGGAAGAATCTATTATGCATATAAATCTGAAAGAAAAATGTTGTCTCCAGGAGAGATGCAAAGAACACAACAGACACTCATCTAAGAGGTGACAAAATTAAACAAATTTGGGGAAAGGTTCATCACAATACCAATCAAAGTAGTATAAATCAAAACCAATGAATTATAGTCATTCTTTTTCACCTAGCAAACGTATTGAAGATATAACTCCTCCTACCACCAAGATTATAGTTAAAACAGGCCTGTTAACAAGTTGCTAGAAGCTATGCAAACGATATTATTCTTTTAGCAGTGGATGGCTTTATGTACCAAAATGAATAGAAATGTTCATTCTCTTTGACCGAATAATTTCACTTGCTATCCAAAGGCAATAAAATCAAAGGAAGAAAGAAAAAGGCCATATGCATAAATATGTATATTGTAGCACTTTTTGTAACAATAAAGTATTGAAAACAACTTAAATATTCAACAATGGGGCACAAAGTATAATGATACATCATAATGCAGTCATTACAAGTATAATTAAAAAACCATGTAGGAACATGAAAAAACATCCTAAAGATTTAAATGAAAGAGCATAACAAAAAATGCAATCTATACTATGATTACCGCTGGCAAAAATATTTATACAACCAGACAAATACTGGAAGGAAATCGCCATCATAAAAATGGATACATTTTAGTTGAGGGACCGTGGGAGACAATTTTCTTTTCTTTCCTCTACTGTTTCAAGAGCTGTTTATGCAATACAAACAGTCACAACCTTCACAATTTCTTTTGCCCAGCTTCTATCAAATTCTAAATTCCTGTCATTTGGGGGTGGGAGGAAAGGGAGGATGTTTTCTCTGTTTGGGAAGCCCCATACCTCAAGATCTGCACGCCAATGGAAGGAGGAGGTTTGTAGGGAAGTCCAGGTGGCGCAAGAGGGAGAACTTAGCTCCCAACTTAGCTGAGTGTGGTGAGATCAGAGACCCTTCATCTGAGATCTGCCTTGGAGACTGTCTTAAGACAGTCCAACCCAACAGTGCCTTAACTTAAATTATTTCACATCAACTCTTAAGGCAAGTGGGGGTGGCCACATAAGGGATCACTTAAGCATATTCTAAACTCTGGGATACCGGTTTCCCAAACATTCCTCCCAGGACCCTTTGTAAGGAACACAGGTCTAGCAAGGACCATTCTGCTAGAAGAAGCAAGCTAATGCTATGTTTTTCATCCCAAGACAATCTCAGTTGGAGCTGGAGTTTATCACCCAGATATGATATATGCTGTATTTCCCTAGTCTCTACCACTGTCTGTTCCTTTAATAAGAGGGGGGTAAGCACACAGCGGCTGAATGTTTATTATTAAATTGCTATTTCGGAGGGGGTGTGTGGGGGAAGATTCAATTCATTCACAGCTCATTTATTTTCATTCTCACTGCCTGGAGCC